GGGGACAATTTCAATCCCCAAATTCTACTGCAACTTTGAACGCACAGTCTTTCCACTACTAGACATTTACGTCCGCCATATCGAGCTCACTTGAACGAAACCCGGGTGCACAATCGTGTTCAAACTTACCCAGACATTGCTCTGCTCCTCTACGAAAATCTGGGCATGGCCCACTTGAAACAGCGTTGCTTAAATTAATGAAACGACATTGAATAAGGGTACACAGTGATGGGATTCAGTCGGTTCTGTAGAACCGTCTCGCGGAATTTTATAAGATCAGCGTACCGGTTAGCAGTACTGGTTTATTTTCTAAAAAAATATGACTTTTTGTAACAGAACCGGCCAAAAAATATGACGTTTGTGATGGAACCGGCTGACAAAAAATTTGAATCCAACCACTGGGTAAACATAACAGTTTATAAACATAAAAATTTATAGACACACAACACAATATAAACACGGACACTATGGATCGTGACCAGTGGTGGGATTCAGCCGGTTCGCACCGGTTCTATTGAACTGTCTCAAGGAATTTTATGAGATCAGCAAACCGGTTAGCATTACTGGTTACTGTCAATGTTATGCTTGTAACAAAATCGGCTGAAAAATATGACTTTTGTGAAGGAACCGGCTGACAAAAAATTTGAATTCCACCACTGTTTGTGACACAGGGTAATCAGAGGTGCGATGACGAGCGTGTTCCTTACGCTCAGCACGATGCGCCACACCGCTGAGTTTATCTAACGCTGCATGACTACGTGACAAGAAATCAGCAAAGGAATGAGGTAATCACAATACCCGAAAAATTTGGAAATGGGTTAAATACATTTTGATACATCAATATATTTGAGGCACCACAATTCTACCGCAATACATGGTTTTGGCGAAGTTCTTTAAAATTAAATATACACTACAGGCTTGGTGGAAAATACCCGGTACCATTCTTTATCAAAACCAGTTTCTAGCTGGTCGAAGTCCTGTGTGATCTGGCTTTTACCAGGAATTTGCTTGTTTATTTCTGGTTGTCAGTTTCCCCTGTTCGGTACAATTTCAAAAGTATCAAAAATATAAACCGGTGCAATCCTGTTACTGCTCAATAAATTTATTTTCGTTTTGTTTGATTCTGTTTCTTTGGTTTAGTTAAATAGGAAAGCGGGACAATAACCTGGCCAAAGATAAACAGAATCAAATAGGACAGACTGAAAAATTGGGGGTGCGGCAATTGGAGGGCAGTATCTATAAAAACTTTTACCGTCTGGGGATAATCTGAGGAAACGGGCAGATTATCGTAAAGTCGTTTTCAAATTAGATAATAGAATCTTGAGTGTCGCCGCTCGATAGACAGCTTTGCTTCTCCGCGGGTTCCCTTCCCCAGTAAAAGTGTGTACAGTACTTATCATTTCCCTCCTAAATTGTGTGAGATTAATTTCAGATCGGGGAACTGTGATTAAGGCGCCTTGTTGGCTTTCCCTGGTTAAATAGGACAATTGTATCCTATTCAAACTAGTTTTAGATTTTACCGTTTTAGTACCAGAATTGAGTATTTCCATTCATGTTCAAGTTTATTTTTTTTATCCAGTAAAAAAATACAAATTAGGTTTTTCAAGGATAAAAAGCCAATTTTCAATCTTATATTAACATTTTATTGCTACGGTACAAAAGCAATGATTACCGATGTTGTATTCTGGCAAATAACACTTACATAAACTCACGAATGAACTCGGAAACGAGCGATATGCTTGAGTAAACAAACGAGGCAATGGAAAATTTTCAAAACTAAACCACGTGCTGTGACGTCATCGGCGCGAAAGGACGGTCTCGTCTCGATCTGGACGGTTGTTAGATTCTGGAGGTGAGATTTCGAAATTTTATTTTCATTTCGAAAAGGATGTTTTGTATTTATGGAGGGGGGAGATGAATCCGATGCGACGGCTTGAATATATGGATTTTTATAGGTTTTAACCAGTCCATGTCAATTATGGAATATTTTGGCGCCAAATCGTTCCAGGTCCTCGTACTTTTGCGTTTGATTTCGCGTATTCTGGACATCCGCGGCTGGATTTTATTAATTTACTATTATTTTTTTGCCAACTGCCGCTACCTCCTATCTGCTATATTCAGTCTTAGGATAGTAAAGTTAATTTGCATATTTTATATAGCTTAGTACAGTCAGACAGTAGTAGGATATCATATTTTCCCCTCCACAATCTGCAGATCTGACATTTGTGTTTAGTCATATCGGATTGGGACACTCAGACATTACTGCATTAGGATAAGTCATGCTATTGCCACACCTTTCTCTCTTTATTTTACTATAACTGTATTATTACAGTATTATTCTATGAACAAATCATCCCAATCGGTGCGGCTCAACGGGCTAAGCGTTAGGAATACGCTCGCCACCGCACCTGTGATTACTCTGTCTGGGTTCGCAGGTTCGAATCCCATGCAGGGATGGTTATGTGCGAGAGGATTCCTGGACTCCTCGCCGTCGTTGGGTGGTTCACGTAACCGCTGGTCGGTTACGGCTTCCTCCACCACCAAGTCCATGCTTCCGAAAACAAACAATACAGTAAAAACTAATCCCATATCCGACTTGGAATGGTAACCGGACGAGAGGCCGTGGTTCTCCATATGGATATGCCGTCTTATCGGCTTTCCTCTCCCCCAGGATAAATATGTAAATCCTATCCTATCCAATCTTAGGTGATTTATTTTTTATGACTTGTTACATTTGTTATGCCTGTATGCCGGTATGCTGAAGACGGATTCGTAATGGACTTGGAAACAGAATAGACTACGGTACTGGACTACAAGAAACAGTTTAGAAAGTGAGCTAATACAGTAATAAATCCAGTATGGCACACTTTACGGATCGAGAGACATTGTCTCGTTTCAAAGAATCCCATTTTGCCAATGAACTCCTTCCAGCCTTCCTTTTTGGGGACATCTGGACATTGTTGACCCTCAATACAGCAATATCGGCAAAAATACAGTAAAATGAAGTTAGGCAATAGACTACAAAGAAGCGCGATCTAAACACGTCATCATCGAATTCGATTTATCGAAGGAAAAAATTTTTTACCGTGGCATTCGATAGTTTTTATTAAAAAAAAAAGGGAATTTTGGTCACATGATGGCCGCGATTAATTTAGATTATTATCGCGACAAGCATGGTGCGATATGACGCATCTGGCGTTGTGCCAGATAACTCTCGTTTGTGAGACACATGGAGTGTTTGGGACATTCTTAGAATTTGAAAAGTATGCCCTACTGAAATCCAATGGTGATGTTTTAAATTGCCCTTGCTTTTAGTTTATTGCACAGTGCCAATTTGTCGCTTTAAGCTGATTATGGACGCCCAGACTGGGAGTCGCAGTTCTTACCACTTCTTGACAGCTCCTGCCACGAACGAACCGCGGCGTCTCTTGCCATGGTTTATGGCGCTATTACTGGTATATTCACAAAGTCATGTACCAGATTTTAGTTTATCATGCGAAAATATATCTACTTAAACCTGAAACCTAAACCCCAAATACATCTAAACTGTATCTATAAAAAATGTTCCAACTTACCCAATATAAGTCACCATCAGGGCAGCCCTGTCCTGACCATTCAGGTGTATATAACTAAAGGCCGACCCGCCGTGGTTATGGCAGCAAAATTTTACTTGCCATCGGTTTTCAATTTGCAGCTGCGGTAACGGTAGGTCGCCATTGGTTTGTGGCAGTCAAAAAGTCGGTCGCCGTGAGTTTGGCCATAGCGGCCGTGGTTTGGAAATATTGCTATGGTTTTGCGGCAGCTCCAGACGCCACGAAATGCTTAAAACTGCACTTGCAGACTGGAGGGACTTGCGCTCACTGTCGTAATTGATGCCTTTTAATGTGGAATGCACATTTTCTTCAAGTCAGGGGCGTGAAGTCTGATTTACCCGAGAATGGGCAGAATCGTATTCAAACTTCTTAGACTTCCTAATTTCTCAAATTTGAAAGCCCAAGTCTCTATTATCGACTTTCAATGATGATTAAAAATGGCTAAATTTCCAACAGAAAACTAAGAACAAAGTTTGCCAAGCGCTCTGTGCAGTTTTTGTCTTCAAATCTCAATTTTTTAGGATTTCGGAGTTGATTTCAAATTTTTTACAGGCTGTCAAATCTTTTCTTAACCCACTGTCTGGCAGTACAGCAGTACGGCACACTATACAGATCGAGAGACATTGTCTCGTTTCAGAGAAACCCATTTTACCGGTGATCAGACACCCCTCCTTTGGGAGACGTCTGGACATTGTTGTCCCTCAATATCGGTGAAAATACAATATAATGAAGTTGCGCAAAATACTACAAAAAAGCGCAATCTAAATACGCCATCATTGAAGTCCTTGGGAGAAAATAATCCAATTTAACGAAGGAAATTTCTTTCATGGCATTTGAGAGATTTTAGAAAAAAACGGCAATTTTGGTCATGTGATGGCCACATTAATTTAGCTAGCTTATTATTGAGACAAGCATGGCGCGATATGATGCATCTACCTTTGTGCCAGACGCTCCTTGTTTGTGAGACACATAGAGTGTTTGTTTTATCGAACCAAATGAAGGGAAATTCTTGGAATTTGGATTTTGTGTCGTACTGTCTGGAAGTAAATTTCCAGACACCATAATCCTGATACAAATATTCTATTCGCTTTGGATATCTCAGTAGGGCACAGTTCGCAGATTCCAAAATGTCCCAAGCAACATTTGGTTCAATAAAACACTCAATATGTCTCTGAAACATCTGGCATGCAGCAGGTGCGTTAGTTCGCACCATGCTTGTCTCAATAATAATCTTAAGTAATCGCAACGAGTGCGGCCGCCAAGTGACCAAAATTGCGTTTACTCTCACATAAAGGAGGGAAGTTGCACTCGCTGTTATAATTGATGTCTTTTAATATAGAATCAGAGAATCGTGCTATACTGTATATTGACCAGTTTTCTGATCACAAATTTATATTTCTTCTTTAGGAATTAGATATTTTGCTTAGTTAATTTGGCAATTACGGTAGAATTTGTTTGGGAAAACATAAAATATGGCACAGCAACAAGCAGACAGCGACATCCCACGTTTCAAGTTGGTACTTGTTGGTGATGGAGGTGTAGGTAAGTCGTATAGGTAGATTAAAAAAAGGTTTCTTACATTTGAATATTTTTAAGCAGACTATTATTCCCTGAAAAATAGAACTCGCGCAAATGCAGTTTTAGGGAACCGGTCTCTTCAGCTGCTGTGGAGGCTGTCGTGTTTGCGCAGATATCAAATACATTTCAAAGTTGAAAGATAAGGAAAAAATGATTTTTGACTGTTACGGATTTCATGGGAGAAGTTAAGTTCCTTATATTCTTCAAGGCTCAGAATGTCTTGGCATGGACAATTGAAAAGCTTTTCATGATGCTATTTCATGTCTATTGCTATGAACACGGCCTTTTACAGGCAGGGAGCCACTGATATCTGCTACAGGGACGGTGACTCCTCTACACAGGGGCGGACACTTTCCATAATTTTGGGGGGGCGAACTTGGATCGCCTACCGAAAAACACCGCGCCGTGTATCGTCACGTAACAATAACCTGTCGATGTCATTCTCTAAGTATTAGCATGTAATATATCGATTACCTAGGCTGCTTTGCTCGGACACGGAACTTGCGCGTCACTGAACCAATTTCTTGAATTCCGCGAGAATTAGCCCACGGCTCTTGCTAACAAACAGAAAATAACTTATTTGAGGTCGGAACTTCCCATTGCCGTCTGCAACAAGCACCGCGATTACGCGCTAGTTAAAAGAGCCGCCTATTTAAGCAGTATAATGTTTTTTCTGTCGATCCCAGACAGCCACGAGATTCTAAAATGTCCTTACATATTAATTTAATTGTGTGCAGCGTAACTCGCGGTCTCGACAGCCACGAGATTCTAAAATGTCCTTACATATTAATTTAATTGTGTGCAGCGTAACTCGCGTTGCGACTTCTTAGGTCAAAATAAAAATATTACTAAACTAAAGTACCACGGCGATATGGGAAATAAAATATGAGATAAGCTGCCTGATGTATTTAATTTTGATACGTATTTTTGCAATCTTCCGAACTCTGTTATCGCCGTTACAAAATCTCGATATCTGATATAAAAATCCCATATAGTACAATTTTACTTTATACAATGAAAATAATTATAAAGTATACTAGTAAATCAAAAATACAAATTCACCCGCCTCGAAATCCACGCGGAAACAGTCGCCGCGATTACGTCACTTGTTAAAAGAGCCGACTTTATCAACGAAAAATGATTTTTCACTTGTGCAAAGATTTACTTGTAACACTGGCACCAATCGCAATGTTGTCACTTTCGATTATTTTTAAAGATAAAACCTTTCGAAAATCCATAAATTTTTTGTCAATTCTCACGTAGTAAAAGTTATTTCAGTACAATAAAAATACATAAATAAATACAAAAAAGTGATCGAAAATACTTTAATTATCTTATATATCATCACAAACCGGGGAAAAGTCGCGTTGTCAGCTTTGTTTAATGTTAACACGAAAATTTTCGACGTCAATTTAAAAGTAATGGATAAAAGGCAAATCCGCTCACAATTGACCGTGTTTCGATTGTTAGTAACGAAATGTTTTTAAAAGGTTCAAGGCAAACGATGATTTGTGAAATTTTGCGATTTTCGATGCCTAGAAAAGCGTTTTTAGACTGGCGCGGGCCTCAACAAAAACCTATATTTGTTTACAGTTTACTTTTAGTAATTTATAATTGCCGCTTTTCAACTTTTCGACATAGTAAATGCTTTGATCTTTGCCCGCAAATTATGCTGGGCCTTGCACGAAATCCATAACGTGAAAAGATACGTTCCAGCGGTGAAAATTGTTTATAACAACTTAGATCTAGTTAATTTTTTAAGCGATAATAATTAATTGTTGTAATGAAACACAGGTTTGCCTCTTTCACTTCTCTCGCAAGTGCCACAATAACACTATGAAAGATTTTGACAATGAGAAATCATATTAAATTGTACAAAAATGAATTAGTTGTGCAAAACCGTGGCGCGTGATCGGCGGTGCGTTTGAAGACGGAGTATTACCCGTGCGGGCGCGCATGTTTCGCGAAAATGTGAGGTGCTCCGAAGACACACATTATTGTGAGAAAACAGTTATAATATCGGTGACTATTAACCGTTTAATTGCGCTTGACTATCGCACTTTTCGGAAATGATAATTTTGTAAGGCGGAAACAACATGTATTAATTTTTTTTGCGAAATTATTGGGGGGGCGACCGCCCCCCCTCGCCCCCCCGGGTGTCCGCCCCTGCCTCTACAGCCCATGGGCCGCGGCCTCATCAGTAAATATCAATTATCTTAACAAAATAGTCCAGTAGTATGCGTACCAGGTCAAGGATGAGACAAATTTTCGTTCAAGTTTTTCACATTATAGTTCTATTTTGAGTTCGGGGACTGTCTGTGTTAGCCAAGTGAATAGTCCTTTTACACAACTTAATTCGATGGGCCGTGGCTCCGGCCCACAGCCAAACCAAAAAAATAACAATGGAATTGTTGAATATGAACTAATTTAATGACCTGGCCCGAGTGCAGTGATACGTTTATTAACAATGCGCGAGGCTTGATGCAGTGATTGTATATTTTTTTAATAATGGGAATGAAGCATTTCGTTATTAAATATATGTTAAATTATTTGTAATTTTACTCAATGAAAGTAGAGGCAAACTTAAAAATTTCAAACGCAAACAAAACAACTCAGGCTTGATTTTTAACCTGTAAATACAGTAGAAAGCGTATATGGATTGGACGCCGGGTAGTCCAGCAGTAAACGAAACTAAAGAAAGGAAAAAGTACATTTTTACTATAGCGGAAATAATGCGGAATATTTAATCACAGCGATCGGGCCTCTCGCTTTGTTGATATCATATCTTCGGCCTCATGGGCCGAAACGTGTGTATGCCATATAGAATACATTCAATATTCGGTATTCCTGTACCCGTAGTATGTGAACCGAGATGGTGGACACCGGAATGTAGTATGTGTACCAGGTTAGGGTTAGGCCATAATTTCAGGTACAAATACTACGGAAGTTCCCAAACTCGTAATAAAACTAAAATTGGAAAAGAATTATGGCCTAACCCTAACCTGGTACACATACTACGTTCCGGTGTCTGCCATCTTGGTGCACATACTACGGGAGCACCCAATATTCAAGAATATTATTTTAAAATGTGTTCTATAAGTATGATGTTTTATTTGTCTTGCCTTCTTTGGTAATGGGTTTAATTTCCCACTATAAATTGCAATTTTTTTTATTGTTGTAAATTTCCATATGTTAAATAATTTATTAAAAAAAATTTTTAGGCAAGACAACGTTTGTCAAGCGTCATCTTACTGGAGAGTTTGAAAAGAAATATGTGGCAACCCTCGGAGTAGAAGTCCATCCGTTAAGTTTTCACACAAATCGTGGAAAAATTATTTTTGATGTCTGGGACACAGCTGGACAAGAAAAATTTGGAGGCTTGAGAGACGGATATTATATTAGAGTAAGTTAAAGTTTCTGAACCCGAGAAAAATTTCGATTTTGAAGTTTTTGGGAAGGGAATTTTACTTTGTACTTGCGTGTTGACTTAGGGATGCCACTTTTGGATTTATGGATCGATTCGAATCACATCTTTTGCGAATCAGATTTACGCGACTTGGTAATAGAGAGCGATTTACCGAAAAATAAAAACATTGAATGTTTGTTTATCTTTGTTTTCGGTGGCATTTAAATCTGCCGAATGCGTTTATGCGGCACTCCAAATAACACCAATTGAGAAAACATAGGCGTGCAATAAGAAAAAAAAAAACTTAATGGAATCAGATTCGATTCGAAAATATTTGATTCGAGATTCGATTCGAAAAAAAGTGTATCCAGAACTGGCAACCCTACGTGTGGTATCATTTATATTTATACTTAACATGAAACTCAAAAAAAAAGTTACTTTTTGTAATGGGTCGGCTCATACGCGCATAACTCTGATCGCACTCAAACGAAATGACCTAATCCCAACTCTAACTAGGCTAACGAAACGTTAACGAAAGACCGTTAACGAAAGCCAGAGTACAAGTTGCACGAATCACAAACCAAACGTAAATCAAGAATAAGAAATACAAATTTTTATGCGAAGTGGGAAAAACTTGGGACCTTAAAAGTAGGCCCAGAGAGAAACGGGTCAATAAAGGTGTAGATGGAGCTATTTAAACTATTTCTGGCATTTTTTTTTGGCTGATTTGATTTGTCTGGAATTGTTGAGTCAGGAGATAAGAGTTGGGCGCATTCTGGCTGGAGTAGTATTTTCAAACTTTTCAAACCCAGAGTTGTGCGTTAAAATTCTGAATTCTCGGAGTATGTGTCGGGATTTCAGACATTTGATAGTGATGAATTTTAAATAAGATGGATCTTTTAAAGCGTCTTATACTCTTAATTAACAGTTTATCAAAGAAGGCTTGTACTCACAAAAATTTGTGTTATCGAGCCTATGTCAAAATTGTGAGGTTTTCCAATGCGAGGAATCCAGGATGGCAAATACTATTAGGGGGAATAAAATTAAAGGGAATAAAACGGAATGTCAGTTTTCAGGGGGTATTTAATGGTTTTGGCCTGTTTTTATGAGTTCGGGATGGTTTTTGCATGTTTGACGAATTTTTTGTTCAAAAGTCTTTTTACAGTTCATAACTTTATTTTCTCGATTTACAGGGTCAATGTGCGATTATTATGTTTGACGTGACGTCCCGTATTACGTACAAGAACGTACCTAACTGGCATCGCGATCTGGTTCGAGTTTGTGAGAATATTCCCATCGTGATGGTTGGAAATAAGGTAGGCCACTTGATTTTTATTACTGCACTGCTTTGATCGGGTTTTTATCCATACCTAGGGCACATTAGGCTATAAGGTGCAACGGTTTTTGATGCAATATCGCTGTTGGTATTTTAGTGTAGGAATAAAGCATGGAGTTCTACCTGAATGATACATTAGGCAAATTTTTGGAAAGAAAAGTACGCCTAAGGATTTGAAATTCGCCTAGTGCCGACACTGGAACGATTGCGGACACTGGAACGTAGTATGTGTACCAGGTTAGGGTTAGGTCATAATCTTATTCCAATTTTCTTATTTCAGTTCTATTACGAGTTCGGGGACTAGCCAAGTGACTCTCATAGTATTTGTACCTAAAATAATGGTCTGATCCTAACCTGGTACACATACTCAGGGAGTACCTTATTTTGAATGGCATTTGAATACGCACTCACTTTTTCTCATTCAGTTATGCCCTAAAAGCAGTAATGGTATTTAAAGTTTAAAACAGGTATCTTTTGTATCAAACTCGTTAACAACATTCCAACAATACATTTTAATGGTGTCAAGACAGAAAGACGAATGTTGAAATTAAAAAAAAACCTCGTTTAAAAAATTAAAAAGAAGTAATAGGTGCCTTCAAGCTAGTATTTAATCATAGTTCTCGATGGTGGAGTAAGCCGTAACTGACCTGATGTTACATGAACTACCTCAAGACAGTGAGGTGTCGAGCAATCCTCTCGCACGTAATTCTCTCTCATAGGTTTTGTCGTGCCGAATCCATGCAGGGTAATCAGAGGTGCGGTGGCGAGCGTATTTCTAACTCTCAGCACTAGATTACCGCCGAGCTGATCTTTTTCCATTTATTTTTACTCAGGTCGACATTAAAGATCGCAAAGTGAAAGCAAAGGCAATCGTTTTCCATCGAAAAAAGAATCTGCAGTACTATGATGTTTCGGCCAAGTCCAATTACAATTTTGAAAAACCGTTTCTTTGGTTGGCACGGAAATTATGCGGAGACGCCAACCTCGAATTTGCGGAAATGCCTGCTCTGCAACCACCAGAGGTCAGCGTAGATCAAGAAATGATAAAAAAATGGGACGCGGAACTTGCTCAGGCTGCCAATGCACCTTTACCAGAGGAAGAGGATGATTAATTTAAAAAAATCCCCCTCCCACTTTTCGAAAAAAAATATACTCAATCTTATGTATGGTCGAAGTGTTGCCACTCTCAGCCTTTCCTTGATGGCAATAAACTCGGCAGAATTTTATGGTCATTACTCCCACCGGAAATACTCTCTTGTGCCTCCTTGTTTATAGTCTCGGCAGTATTTTGTATTATTTCACCCTACTGGAGAAAATACTCTCTACTGCCTGCTTGTGTATAGTTTCGGTAGCATTTTGTGTTCTTCCGCCCCACTGGTGAAAAATCTCTCTACTGCCTCCTTGTTCATAGTTTCGGCAGCATTTTGTGTTCTTTGCCCCCACTGAAAGAACTCTCTACTGCCTTCTTATGTTTGGTCTCTGCAAAATTTTGTGTTCTCCCACTGGGAAAAAACCATCTACTGCCCTCCTATGTTTCTCTCCCACTAGAAAAACTCTCTATCACCCCTTGTGTTTAGTTTCTTCTTGCATCTCCACTGCCCTCTAGCATACAATCTCCGTTTTTTATTAGCCCATGCTAGCTCATCTTGTTTTCATGAAAGATAGCGAAATTTTGTTGTTTTACTAAAAAATAAAATTCAGTGCCCATTATTTCACATTGCTATAGCAGTACTACTGGGTAGTTTTTTAAGGAATTTGGGTTTCTATCGGCTACTTAATAGTTCTCACTAGTCTAGCGTCTCTAACTTTGCTCTGTTTTGGAGATTTAGAAATGTAAATTAAATCCTGACTGAATGATTTTTCCAATTTTTAGAAAAATATGTTGAATTATCGCTAGATTTAATATTTCTTTGGGGATTTGGAATCACATCGATTCTTTGAAAGTCTGTTGTCACCTCTCAGTGCGCTACAATCAATGTAAACTTATCTGACCGAATAGAATATTTTAAGTCTGTGAGGAATTTAATTCCAGCTGCTATACTAATCATCCGCAGAAAATTAAATATTCTATTCTTTTTTGAAACATTGCTAATTGAACCATTTGCACCTTACCAGGTCTGTGCTGTTTTGAGATATTTGAAACATGAAAAACTCAGTTTACAACTAAAAGTTGTGTGTGCGTCTTTTCAATCTCTATACTAATTAGGCCCTTTCAAGTAGACAATTTAAACATTGACTGCAATATATTGTTTGCCCCTCTGTATCAGGGGTGTGCACACTGCGGCCCGAAAAAAAAAATTGTGCGGCCCGTGATGAAAAAACAATTTTTGAATTGTATGCTCGCGAAACGAGTATTAAGTTCGGATAATCCGGTATAATCTGCTAGCAAAATGGAAGATTTATATTACAAAAATGTGTTCCTCACTGAAGTGGTTTAAATTTAAATAACAGTTTCTCAAAATAACAGACGCCCATGCGTTTTAACTCGCTATTTTTGCAAGAAAGCCTAATAGTGTCGAAAGATCATTAGTAAAAATAAGCAATTTTTGTGCTTGCAACTAGTAAAAGGTCTCCACGGCTTCAACCGGTTACTTGTATTTGGCCCGCCCATGAAAAAGGTTGCACACCCCTGCTCTGCATCAGGGCTACTCAACTATTTTTACCGAAGATCCGCATACAAAACTTCAAAAATATTTGGGTCCGGTCTTTTCAGAAATTATATTTGGGCATCCTTGAACATGCACTTTCTCGGCCGACTCATGATAATTAGCTAATCAAGATTGTTTATTATGGCGTTATAGTTCTTTTCGTATAAGGGATATTATAAAAGGAAAACTTCAAAAGTGGGAATGTTGATCCAAAATAAAGAATTAGTTGCAGTCCAAATCAAATACGGGGAAGGATCGGATTGGGAACGCTAGTTGAGTAGCCCTGCTCTGCATGACAATCCCCCTCAGCACTCTCTGTGTGTGCTGTTTCTGTAAACATCTAATACCCAGTTTGCAACTCTCCTCTCTAATTAGGCCCTTCTACATAGACAATTAAAATATTGGCTGAAGTAAACCATTTGCTCTTTACTGGTTCTCTGTGTGCCTTATCACTGCCCTGGTGAGGTTTGTCTTTAAAGACAATTTAAAAGTTGGCAAAACTATCGTTTGCTGATGTTGTTTTGCAGGAATAAGATTTTGAAATGCCAGCTAAACTATGTCGATTGCTTCTTAGTGTTCGGGAATATAATCAATATTGTCTATATTATTATAGATTTTCAGTTTTTTGCTACATTCGTTATTTTGAAACATTTCATTCCCCTAATGGTATGTATGAAAACTCTGGTTTCCGATATATAATGGATAATTATCTAGTGATACATTCGACATGCACTCTGCGCTTTATATAATTTAAATATAATTGAAACCAACATAATTGGTAATTGAATTAATGGGTTTCATTCATACTGGGACACCAATGTGCCATAATATGTATTACATTAATACTAAAGTCAAGAATATTAGAAATACCACACAAATATTCCCTGCCTCAAGACAATAAAATTTCTTGTTGAGTAACTCGGTATAGATAATTGTAACATTGGCCCAATTTATTTATATATCATGAAATGCCAGCTGTGTGAGTAAGACAGAAACAACCCTGGTACTGATCCACACTATGAAGCCAAATTTTGTTTTTCGACGCTGAAATTTTTCAAACAAGTTCAACTATTTCAATTTGCTATTTCCTATGAAAACCTTGTTCAATTTTTGTAGCCAAGTACGTTCATTTGGGCTGGAGAAAAATAAAATAAAAATTTTAGTTAATTCGCATTGTGTTGCCTTATATGTATGTTTAGGAGTGTAGGCTGTTTAAAATGCTGAGTACATAGGATAGGATTTACAAATTTGTTCCAGGTGGAGAGGAGAGATGCTAAGGAGGCTTAATCATGTGGTGAACCACTGTCCACTCACCGGTCCATGCCAGGTACGAAAGTTGTTTGTGAACCGAGGAGTCCATAACAGTCAATTGAAATTTTAGACTGTTGGAGTTTGGGCAGAAAGGTGGATTCCTGTCTTATGCCTTGTATGAAATTCCTAACGCACGATGCGCCACCACACCACACTGCCGAGTTGATCCGGGCTACTCAACTATTTTGACCGAAGATCCGCATACAAAACCTGAAAATAATTTGGGTCCGGTCTTTCCAGAAATTATATTTCGGCATCCTTAAACGCGCACTTCCTCGGCCGATTATTAGATAATCAAGATTGTTTATTATGATGTTATAGTTCTTTCCATATATATTCAAAAAGTCATTTTATAATAGGAAACTTGAAGAGTGGGGCTAACGATGCAAAATAAAGAATTACGTGCGGTCCGAATCCAATACTCGAGTGGAAGTGGTGACTCCTCTTCGGCCCATGGGCCGGGGCCACGGCCCATCAAATTGGGCCTAGGCCCATCAGGCTATGGGCCGCGGCCCATCAAGTTGTGTAAAGGAACTATTCACTTGGCTAACACAGACAGTCCCCAAACTCATAATAGAACTATAATGTAAAAAATCGGAACAAAATTTTGCCCTAACCCTAACCTGGTACACATACTACAGGAGTTTATTTTTTGGTTCGAATATTGACAATTTTGTAGAAATTGAAAATTTTGGTAAGATAATTGAATTTTTCCTGACGGGGCCGCGGCCCATAGCTTGATGGGCCACGGCCCATGTGGCCCAATTAGATGGGCCGTGGCCCCGGCCCATGGGCCGTAGTGGAGTCACCACTCCTGTAGCAATACTCGAAAGGTCGTCCGCCAGTTGAGTAGCCCTGGAGTAGATTATGCACAGCCTTTACCAGTAGGTATTGCGTATCTTGCTAAGCCTCTGGCAGGAATACGACTGCCCTCTGATTACCTCTCTTGTGTTTGAATTCTGGGAGAATAATTATGTGATTGATAATATATCAAGTCCATGCATCTGAAACAAATCTGTCTAACTAAACCCATACCCAACATGCACTGGTAACCGGACAAAAGGCCAGGGGTTCGTCATATGATTAGTTTTATTGGCTGTCCTTCCCAAGGGATTCTCATGCTGTCATACTAGAATAGTTGTAACACCTGGTACTAGAAGATTCAAATAAAATAGGTCATTTGTGGTGGGATGATAACTGGATGATTGTAAATAACTAATCTCAATAAATCACAAAGATCACTACTGCAGTGAATGGCTAAGATGTTTTACCAACCTTCTGACTCCATAACCAGAGGTATGTGGAGCGGGCTAGGTTATAATTAGGGCTGGTCATTTCAAACGAGAATTTCGAATCACGGCCATCTTGATTTTTTGTCTACTGAAGGTCGAGTTGAATTCCTCAAATCTTTTTATTGAAGCGGTGGCGCGTCGGTGTGGCTTAACGGGCTAGGCGTTAGGAATACGCTCGCCACCGCACCTCTAATTACTCTGCGTGGGTTCGCAGGTTCGAATCCCATGCAGGGATGGTTTTGTGCGAGAGGATTGCTGGACTCCTCGCCGTCGTTGGGTGGTTCATGTAATACGGCTTCCGAAAACAAACAATATAACTAATCCCATACCCGACTTGGAATGGTAACCGGACGAGAGGCCGTGGTTCGCCATATGGATAAGCCGTCTTATCGGCTTTCCTCTCCCCCGGGATAAATATGTAAATCCTATCCTTCTATATACAATCTTGGCCTTCTTTTTTTTTACTTCCTAGCGAGTTATTGATTAAACATGTTTCTTATTGTGCATGAGCACTTGCAAACTGTGTGGGCGCTACATTGTACTCTTGGCAGCTTGGGGAGTATTTATGTGCCTGGAGAACCCATTATAATGAGAACCGAATTACAATATCTTCCCAAGTATTTGAGATCCGATTTTTAAAAAAATATTCGCTCATGAAATCATTAGATATTTAAGAAGGCATCATCGCTAGTATTCTTACTTAAATAACCTCTCCATCCAGCTTCAATTGAGCAGAACTAAAGAAAAGGGATCAGTAACATAATGACTGGAATTGAGCCATAAACATCAAATGAGACTTGTTAATTCAAATTCGTGACTAATCTTCGTAATCCTAGAGCTTCAATCCTGCCCCCCAACAAGGAGGAATAGCCAAATTCGAATGTTTCACTATTTCGAATACCTTCCTAATTGAGGGCAAGTTCATGTGGGAACTTACATGAATCATCACATCTTCATGTTGATTACATCTCAAATGGCATAATTGTAAGAAGGCCATAGTTTTTTAAGTGTTGTTTCTTACCAGTTGAGATATCATGCATTTTGATTTACTTGTCTGACAGCTCAAAATCCCTAATTTTTAAATATGAATATTTTAAATTATTCCTAAATTCAAAAATGTACGGTATCTGAATGTACCGGTACTATATAATGAATTTTGGGTGCTCCCGAAGTATGCGAACCAAGATGGCGGACATCGGAACGTAGAATGGGTAACAGGTTAGGGTTAGGCCATAATTTTTTTTCCAATTTTCCTTATTTTAGTCCTATTATCAGTTCGAAGACTAGCCAAGAGCCTCCCGTAGTATTTATACCTAAAATTATGGCCTAACCCTAACCTAGTACACATATTACATTCCGATGTCCGCCATCTTGGTTCGCATACTTCGGGAGCCCCGAATTTTGATTTGTTTTGGACACCCCTTCTCCAACTCTTGCAAAGAGACAGCTTACTTCAGTTTCGCTATTGATTTGGTTTCTGCGAGACGAACTATTTCTTCTTCTTCTATGCTTTTGTGCCGGTGGATCCGTATGCATATAATGTTGTAGCAAGAGTAAAGATAACTATCCTAAGTGATTGAAGAGTCTTGCTGCACACAAACACAAATATATTTCTGTAACGTTTCGTCTGACTAAGGCCATGCTTAGACATACATAGTCCAACTTTGGTCATACGAAACGTTACAGAAATATATTTGTGTTAGTGTGCAGTGAGAATCCCGAATCACTTAGGTTACTTCAGTTTTGACTGAAATTTCTACCATCTTTAGCAACCTCCAGATTCCTGTTTGGAGCAGAGAAGTGTGTTCAACACATATCACAATATCATTTTATTACACAATCAATCTTTGGCGAATTAAATGATCGTAAATGGTATTGGCTTCATTGCACAATGATTTGGTTTAAAAATTGAACGTCAGAACAAAAACAATTAGGATGAATAAAAGTAGAAGAAGAAAAAACACATGAGCGTCGTTTGGACAGGGACACAAAAATGGAATATTGTCAGTCAATGATCAAGGGGGCGCATTTACAAACTTTGCCGTGGGCTCCATTTTACCTAGATACGCCACTGAACACATATCCCAAGATCTTTTTGGTTTTGAAAGTTTAATCAGGGCTATGCTGAAAAGGGCTCCTGCGAAAAAAACGAAAGGTCTACGATGCGAGAACGAGCAGAAATAAACCATGCATTATAAAAAATTATCATTGTTAGTTTCAATATTCTGGAATTTCTAAATAAATTTAAACTCAATGGATTTACTTTATTACTTATCGATCTTGATAAGTATTTGTCTGTCTGTTACATGCACGCGATATCTCACGAAAGCGAGGTTGAATCTGCTCCAAATTTTGCATGTATGTGCATTCATCATATCTCGGACCAGAAGCCTATTGATTTTGGATGAATTATGTCGTATAATTAGCCAGTTATTAATTAATTAGTGATGGGACACGCGGTGTCACTATAGAGTCATAAATCGAAACTGCAGTTTCGATCGATAAGGTTTCGGTCTCCAACCGATATTCTCGTTTATATATCAGGATGTCCAGTTCTGGCTATACATGCGGGGTAGTAGCCAGGGGGGAGAAGTCTCCCCCATTTCAAATGTAAAAAAAAGTTTTTCTGTAACATACATAGCAACTTTTCGTAGGTTGTTGGATCCTCAAAACTTTCAAAAACCCAAATTTCCCGGCCGGATTACTACAGTCTAACTTGTCAATTAGATATTTCAGAACCCCCCTTTGAAAATTTCTGTATATATGCTACCTACAATCATCAGAAATAGGATTCTGTGGTCAGAATTTGCAGGCTTAAACATTGGTACACCAGTAATGGTAAAGAAAAGTCAAATCTTTGTTAAGTTTGCTAATAGTTCCTTCTAGTAAAATTGCTTGTATACAGTAAAGTTTTTGGGTACTCCTGAAGTATGCGCACTAACATGTCGCATAACCTGGACCCTAACCTGAGTTCAGGATGTGCGCCATCTTGGTGCGCATACTTCAGGAGGTCCAGTTTTTGGTAACAAAAGTTTGGACCTAGTGTCGAAGATCAAGATATTTCTCCAAGTTACACAGATGAAAGTCTTGACAGTTGCAGATTTCAACTACTTAATAATATTTGAAGAACAGGGGAACATTCAGCCTAATAGAAGATTATAATAAGAATATGTTTTTCAAAGCTAGCTGATGAGACGGCGCTCCAGAAGTATGTGTACCAATATGGAGGTAACTAATTTTGTTCGCCTACTCGACATCAAGTTGTGTAAAGGGACTGAAACTTATTCACTTGGCTAACACTGACAGTCCCCGAACTCGTAATAGAACTAAAATCGGAATGATATTTTGGCCCAACCCTAACCTGGTAAAAATACTAATGGAGTACCAATAAGACAGCATCATGTCAATCATATAATGCCTTTCATCTTTGTACCCAATTATTCATATAATAAGCATGGACTTGCCTATGAGAACTTTCCTGGTTCCCAACCGGTGAGTAATCACCCACTTATGGGGAATTGCAAGCGGGGAATAAACAATATGTAAAACATTACACATAGTAGACACAATGAACGAATATTATTACACAACAAAATCTTGATAACACTAAGCAAAGAAAGATGGCCCATGCAAACTTTTTTGTAAATGTATAAGGCGCAAACCCATTGGCAGTCTAGTGCAGGGGTGCACAACACGGGGCACGCGTGCCAAATTTGGCACGCCATACGCTCAAACATGGCACGCGAACTGTTTTGTACAAAAAAAAAAATTATTCATGATATACATTAAAATATCACGTTTATATCAAAATCCGCAGTTTTTCAGGAAATCAAATTGTTTCAATAAATAGATATCCGTTATTATGTATTGTTATTGAAATTTGTTTGTTTTACGGGAGGTAATGTCCAATACCAATGATTGTGCGCGGCACGCGACAAGATTATTTTGAAAAATTTGGCACGTGTCCTCATTTGAGTTGTGCACCCCTGGTCTAGTGGATGATTCAGAAACAGGGGCTGGGATCCACTGTCTTAATGCATAACAGTTATGTAGAGCAGTGGTTCCGTCCATTTTTTCAAGCAATCCAAAGGAGCAATCAAGGATATGCTCAAATACTAGGCGGTATGTAAAGCTTATGCCTTAAATCGTCACAAAATTAACTGATTGACTAATAACAGCAGATGCCAATTTTGTACGCTGTGATACTTTCCACAATAATCCACATACACATTACTATCGAGCAACACTTCAATACGAATATAAAATAAACAATAAAATTAACAAGAAAATAAAACCAGTACGTTCAGTTTTTAGTTAAAAAAACAAGCGACCTAAGAAAATTTTCAAGCAACCAAATTTTGGATCGCCACCCATAGGTTGGGAAACACTGATGTAGAGCAAATAAAAAAGGCACATTTGCTACAAAATTGCAACAATTCGAACACATCACTAAATAATATGATTGAATATAATAATTTAAGCTTCAAGGTTTTTCCAAAGAATGGAAATCAATGAAGCATAAATTGCCAGAATATTGAACTAAAGGAAATGCAGGAAATGTAGATGCTATGCTGCATCATGGCTCATCGCAGGGTGAGATTGGGTTAAACTATATAACCTGCTAGAATGATTAGACAAGACCGCATTTTTCAAAGCAAAATATGTTTTCCAAAGCGAAATATGCCTCAAGTAGGGCTGGTCATTTACGAACACCTGATGACATCAGAATTGAATCAATTGCTCATAAAACCCATCACTGGACAGTTTACTGAGTTATCACACCCGATGAGAAACATTTATCATTGATAATTCACTAGGAAGAAAAGAAACATATGTCATAATTGCATTTAAAAATATAGCTTTAATAAAAAAATTGAAGAATTCATCCTTTGGTATGAAAAAGAATAAGATTGGCAATTTGAAATTTTCGTCTGACCTTATTTGAATAATTCAATTCGGGCAAATACGAAAGTCCTTTATCATAATTAAGTCGTCTCATCAACTGTTCCGTCCCTGAGATAAATATGAAAATCGCATCCCTGGCTAAATCAAGCAAATTGCAATCTCAACTAAAGTGATTAGAAATCACCTATAACACGATGACACTAAATCATAGGTGCCCAAAAAGATGAACCCCCCAATCGAAATCCACATGACTCTAGGTACGACCCCCGCAAATAAACCTCTAGCGCCCCTCCGGTGGTAAATATCCTTTAAAACTGGAAATATGCGTCCTACTGCAGCGTGATCCCGCTTCTCAGCAAGCATTATTGTAGTTTTAGCGACATCGAGTGGGGTGGTAACCGCAGCAGCAAATCCTCCCGAGAAAAAACCACACCATGCGCCCTTCCATGGCGAAACTGCTCTGCCTTTTCGTTTTGATAACGAATGTTTTGCATATTCCCAGAGCGGAAATTGTATCAAAGAAAACGGTATTTCTCGTAAGACTGTACTCTTATATCCTCGAAAAAGTCCTTTAAACTTCTCATGTTTTAGCGTATTTCGTAAAATTGTCAAGCTTGACTTATTCGCCATTGTTTGTGAGCGTTGCTTGATGACTTCCACCGGTACTCGTACTGTGCATGCCACCACTTCAGCAACGCATGCCGATATCATGTATGAAACAGTTTCATGCTGTGACATAAACTTTGAACTCATGAGGCACCGTTTTGAAGTGTCATATGCCACAAAAAACATGGCAGCGCCAGGTGCTGATCCTAATACCACGGGTCCGATTCCTTTATATATTCCGCTGAATCCTCCAGATTTTCGGAATCCTTGTCGACTTTGTAGTCTTGTTTTTATCGTATCGAGGGGGAACAATGATACGTCGACCGCGAATCCAGCGCAGGCTCCACTGATCAGTGGCGGCACAAACCCAGAACTTTGCATGATTCTTCCTGTAAATGATGAACAATTAATTATTGATGCAAGAAGGTTATTTTACATAAAAATATTAATTTTAATCAGGGATATTCAGAAAACATTCAAAATTAATTATATCCGATATACAGTAGTAAATTTTGAAATAATTTAAAACATTTCTATACAAAAATTGGGGATTTCGAGACATTAGAACGTAGATCAAAACTTGATATCTCAATTGGTAAGAAACAATCCAGAAAAAAATGAGACCTCCTGAAGTATGCGCACCAAGATGGCGGACAAACTGAACTCAGGTTGTGTACCAGGTTAGGGTTGAGGTTGTGTGACATCTTGGTGCGCATACTTCAGAAGTACCAAAAAATGACCTTTTTGGATGTGATCAACATGAAGATATCATGATTTAGGAAATTATCCACATGAACTTGCCTCCAATTTAGAACGTATTAGATAAGATAGGTTTATTCGGACTCCATAATTAGCATAAACGGCGATAACTCGATTGATTAAAACAAATAAAATATTCGATATTTGAAACAGGTAAATAATAGGTTTTACTTTATCAGTGAGACCAGTGTTGGAAAGGTTGAAGCCATAGATCAAAGGACAACGCAAATCAAGGATTTCAAAACTTTTACTCTAATAATTTATTTTGATATCGGGCTCGGCCGTGTGGCTCATTGCGCTAAGTGTTAAGAATATGATCGCCACCTCACCTCTGGTTATCCTGCTTGGGTTCACAGGTTCGAATCCTAAGGAGTAAAATTATGTGAGGAAGGACTGCGGGTTGGTTACGGCTTCCTCCACCAACAAGTCCATGCATCTGAAACAAATGACTGGCTGACTAATCCCAAACACGACATGGCCTGGTAACGGGACGAGAGGCCATGACCCACCATATATGATTAAGCCGTCTTTTCGGCTTCCTTTCCCTGGTATAAAGATGTAAATTCTACCTCACTAGTCACTTACCCTGGACCCCTAGAAAACCTGAGATATACCCACCTTTTCTTTTTCCTTACAATCCCCAAAAATTGTTTTCATGCAATCAAACACAAAGCTTTTTTAACAGTTGTCATGGTTACTGCTAAATTCTAAAGAAAAAATTGGATATGAAAAGAAGAACAAAGTCAGAAAAAAATTATTAGGAACACATTATTCCGAACAAAAAACAACAAAAAAATTGCAATTATAAAGTGTGTTATTTGGGTCTGGTCTGTTTGGTATTATCCTAAAATCATTTATGCATAACCTGTCAGAATTATGGCTGTCCCAACAATACAATATCAATGCTGTCATTCATGCATCATTGATAATATGTTAGAATAAAAATCAAATTATACCGAGATCAAAATTAGAATATCTCAGCTTGTTTTTACTCTCCTAACAAAACTCAAAGATGCATGACTTGCCAGAAACATCTCCTTTCAACATAAAGTACCAAATGCTGTCAGTCACGCTAAACTGGAAAATGAACACAAAAAGGGAATGAAATGATATTTGAGTCTCAAACAACAAAAATATGTAATATTCATTGTACACTTAAGTACCATCGTGGGTGTCGCTAATTCGGACAAAAGTGTGTGTCATCTTTTTCAACAACTTCAGACATCCAGCTGGGCCACACCAAAAGGCTGAATGCGGCTGTTGCTTAGCGTTACAATAATGAAGGCACAAATTTATTGCAGCAACATGAGCAAAAAAACAATATGTATTTTACCCATGTGAACGCTTTTTTAAACAAACTGTGGGATTTGGATTTTATGTATGATGGAGAAAAATCTTGAGTTTTGTCAAGGGCCAGACTTATTGGCTTGTCGGGCCGGTTTATGGCCCGGAAGTCAGCGATGCACATCGCTGGTATAGGACTATGAGACAGCACAGACAAGGATGTAAAAAGCGAATCGAATACACAAAATACATATACGCTACATTGCCCATTGATATAACAGTGTATTGTTCTATTTATTAAATGCTTGGTAGCAGAATTGCCAAAAATGGATAATCTATAGATAAGATGGACTTTTTTCAGATACCCCGCCACGTTTCAAAATACCGAACTAGTAATCATACAGTTTGGGTTAAAATTTTAATTTCCAGCGCAATCTGAATCCTAACGGGATAATGTAAATATTCAAATTTGAGTGGGGGGAGGGGGGGATAACTAGAAAAGGTCCAATGTTTTAACAAATCGAACGTATAAAAACTTAATTTAATGAACATAAAATGAATAGATGGCGACAGAGAGCTCAACATAGATTGTCGGTATATGAAAGTTGGACTCATAAGAGCCATATTGAATGGGAAATTGGTAACGTCATATCTAGCTAGGATCTCACCAGATATAAAAATGTAACAGTATGACTCATAAGAGCCATATCGAATGGGAAATTGGTAACGTCATATCTAGCTAGGATCTCACCAGATATAAAAATGTATTAGTACTATCACAATAATGTACTTTTTGTAAAAAAAAGAAATAACAAAATATAGGCCCTGTCTACTTCAGTACCATTTCACCACTAAAAATCAATGAAGTGTAACTAGTCGGAATAAGGTCCTCCTTGTGTAAATGTGCCAATGCTGTCAGTTCAAATTGTCAATGATGCATGAAATGGTAGAATAATTTTATCCTTGTGTAAATGTGCTAATGCTGACAGGATACAATTTATCATTTGAGAGGTTAATAAAAATCAAAATGTCAATGATGCATGACCATACAGAATAATCTTATGCTCTTGTAAATGAGCTGATGTTGCCAGGATGCACTTCATTATTTTAGGCTTGTGGCTCTCTTTTAGAGGCTTTCAGTACTTATGGCCATGAGCCCCTAGTTGGGCACTGCTGATTTAAGGTTCAAATAGCACTTAACCCTTTCCGTGCGGTGGGCACGTATACGTACCCACGACAAAAGTCACTAGATTGCGGCGGGTACGTTGATGTACTTCACTGTTTTATTTAGCAATCGGTCGCAAACTGTTGGTCTAGTTTTTCCGGGTTTTAGTTCATTGATACGAAGTCTTCTTCGAGATTAACATAAGCGACGGTAAATCTCGCTTTCGTTTACGACGGGAATTTTATTTGCGGCGGAACGAGGAAGTGTTTTTGAAATTTATGCAAATTTCGGTGTTTTTTGGGTGGTAATAGAAGACATATTATCCCTTCCATCTACCAAAGTATTTTGAGTTGGATCACGAAATTGCTAAAGCAATATTATGCTATTGTTTGCCAACCACGAAGCGGTAACAGTAAAGGATTTAGCGAATATTTCTATTTTTTATCACAGTTTGGAGTTGATTAAAAACTTTTTTTTTAATCGCCAATTGCAAGCTCTCTAAATAAGCTTTCCAACGAGCTGGCAGTGGGCTGCAGAGGATCATTAGTTTTTCGTTAGTCGATCGATTAGTTGTGGGGGTACAAATGCATAAAATCGGCGTAGGAAATACGATTATTTAATAATAAATAAAAATCGCATGGAAAGGGTTAAGTAGACCGAATCCGAGATAATAACTGATGGCAAATAAAAGATAACACAACATAGATAAGGCACAAAATAGGCAAAATCACAACAGCATAGAAAAGGGGCGACCAAAAAATTATGGAGCCTTGCTTAGAAAAAAGCATAGAAAAGAATAGTTGGGTCAAAGTAGAGGTTCCGTTCTGTTCCCAAAGTTGATTGACCGCGGGCCAAAATAAGAAATGGAAGGATATTTGCGGGCCGAAGAGGGGAACGCTAGCAAGGGGCCGATAACAGCGCACATTATCAAGATACCGAAATAACTGAAATGTTACAATTTTACATATGTGTGACAATGACGTAACAACTAGAACGCGAAAAAGGAAAATTCAAACTGGTAATGTATTCCTTTTAAGTTTGGCAGGCTATATAAAAATCAACAGAGGCCGCAGTCTGGGAACCAATGCTTCCAACAATAGTGTAATCGAGCTTTTTTAACCGGCAGGCTAATAATTAGGAATAGGGTAACTCTGGTAAAATGAGTGGTCTCCCTGCAAATGACAGGAACTGACAATAATGCAACAAATACATCAAATAAAAATTACTTTGCAACAAAAATCATGTGAAATCTATAACAATTCCCATAGTCGAATTTCAAGACTTCCTGTGGTAATAATGAAAGTCAAAATAATATACAGAATCTCAAAAGTTGCAACGAGCTTTCTTATTAAAAGTCCACTAAAAAAGACTGTAAGACAGGGTGTCCATAAAGTCCCTTCACAATTTCAATTTTGGGTGCTCCCGAAGTACCAAGATGGCAGACATCGGAACGTAACAGGTTAGGATTAGGCGATAATTGTTTTCCAATGTTCCTTATTTTAGTCCTATTATCACTTCGAAGACTAGCCAAGAGCCTTCTGTAGTATTTATAGCTAAAATTATGGCCCAACCCTAACCTAGTACACATATTACATTCCGATGTCCGCCATCTTGGTTCGCATACTTCGGGATCCCCCAATTTTGTTATGAAGCCAGTTCTCAATATATCTTAACCTGGTTTGTTGTTTTTTACTTGTTTTAATACATCTGTGAGGACCAAAACTATATATGGTATCGATAAATTCTCTTTGCAATTTTAAAACTTTATGGACACTATATAAAGTTTTTGTCAGAATTCAAATTTTTGACGATCCGCAAAATTTTCCTCAATTTAAGGTCAAAGTTGAATATTTTTTTCCGGCTTTACAGCCCCTGGGTGTAGGTCTTATATGTGGGAAAAAGTCCCAATTTCGAAAGAAATTGTCAGTTTCAATTAAAACTGAATCATTGGACTTTTAGGAATTAAACGAGCTGAAATTTGAATTGAAAAAAGTGTGTAGTTACAATTTAAAATAAAAAAACACCTTTGCAAAATTGTTACTGAAATGCAGTCCATGGATCTAAACTGAGATTGTACTTTGATTTCGATTTTACTCAAAACAAAATCAATGATGCATGACTGGTCAGAATAATCTAACTTTCAAAAGATATTCTTGATGCTGCCAAGTCACGCTACATTGAATTACCTTTATAATGAAAAATCAGTGATGCATAACTGGCTAGAATAATCTAACTTTTAAAAGATATTCTTGATGCTGCCAAGTCACGCATCATCGAATCTCAGATTATGGAAATAGTGTCAGAATACTCTATATTTTTGAATGAGATTAATCAGTGATAATACCGACAGGATAGTTGGAATAGTAATAACTTAGACAAGACTCTTAAATCAAACGAATGCAGACTATACATCGTTTTTTTAATGTTCGTAATGTACGAAGCAGCTATGTCATCACCCATTGGTTGTTATCGTTCAACCGTGACTCAATTGCAAGTTCATTCAAGTATTCCTTACATTTCATTGCTTTTCCTCTTCTTGCTGTGTTTCTTCCGCTGGATTTTCATTCGCTTTTTCGTTCATTATATTATCCACATTCCCAGTTTCTTCACTATTCTGCGGCTTTTCATTTGGTTCTGTGTTAATTTGTTCATCTGTTATATTTTTAATTTTATTATCAGTAATTTCAGTTTTTTCCTCTGAATTTGAAATTTCCATGGTTTCCTCTTTTTCAGTATTTTCCTGCTTTTTGGAATCAATCTCAGCCTTTTCCTCTTGTGTTTCAGGCACTTCTTCCATTATTTCTTTATTTTCTGTGTCATCTTCTTCAGTCTTCCCATCTTGCTGTTCAATTTCAATCGCTTTGGTCTCAGTTTCCTCCAATTTTTTATGGTTTTCATGATTTTCTTCAGAACTTTCATCACCTTCCTTGGCATTTGCATTTATTTCTTTTAAATTTTCATCATTTTCTGTCATATTTTCATCCTTTGGTGTTTCATTGGAATCTTTTTCCTCCACATTAGAAGATGATTGTTCCTCTTTTTCTCCGATTTCCTCTTTCGATTCATTATTTACATGAACTGATTCCATTACTTCCCTTTGCGGCGATTCTTGTGTTTCCAGGATAATTTCAGCCTCTTCAGGAATATTTTCTGGTTTTCCCGATATTTTCTCATCATCTTTGACATCTTTTTCACTATCTGCTGGTGTCGTGATTCCCTCCGTTGGTTCAGTTTCCATTTTTTCCGTTTTGGCCTCTTCTATAATTTGTTCAGATTTTTGTTCCGCTTCAGTGACAATAGAAGGCTTTTTTTGTGCTGCTGCGGACTTTTTACGTTTCTTTTTAATTCCAAATGTTTGTCCGGTAAGCTTTTTCTTCTTTTTAGCGGCCCCCGATTCGGGAACGAGCATATTAGGGGGTGCTTGGAGTTCACAACCCACCAACTCACACCACCCTACAGGGTAAATATCAGGTGAGTTACAATCGACCCACTGGTCATATTGATTTTCCCAGCCGTCAAAATGTACATGTAAAAGACGGCCAACGATTCGTGTTACCGTGGCAACGCATATTAACCTCGGCTCCATTAAATCAACAGCTTCTAACTTCATTCCTCGTTTGAACCCGTGATCTGGTAAATCTCTGTCGAATAATTCAACCGGCGCCGCCGAGCTCGACGTTTCATTCAAATAAGTCTCCCAAGTGAAGGAATCTTTATAAGCGTTCGGTACGCTTAATGAAATTCCATTCTCAATGCAAAATCCGACTGGGAATATAGAGGGGGCCGTACAATGATAGCAAAACCAGTCAGAGCCATCAGCTGCTTCCGAGCCATCTATTCCGATCATTAAATACCCGTTTTTAAGAACTTTTTTGACAGTTGCAGCACAAATCGCACTTAAATTTAATGGGTCGATTGCTTCTATTTTCATTCCCGGTTTGAAACCGCAACTTTTAACTTGTTTTACTGCAGGAAAAAGCTCTTGTTTTGCATTTTTAAATCCCTTTTTGTTTTTGTAGTCTTTGCTAGCGACAAGAATCTTATGGCCGACTCTCTCACACCACCCGATGGGGTGAATCAACGCAGATTGCGAATGACACCAAAAATCATCATTTACATAGTCTGAGTCCTCGTAACGTAGTCGTAAGCGCCCACCAACTATTTCTTCTATGATTCCAATTCGCATTCGTGAAATTTTAGTTTTGTCCACGACCTCTAACCTCATATTTGTAAGAAACTGAGACTTCACACTTTCAATAACACGACGCTGAAAATCATTCGGCAACGTTTTAGCGCCTGTTAATCTCCGAACCAAAAACGTTTTCCAATTTGTGTATTTATGTTGAATTGTTTGGGGAGGAACAAGAGGTTTTCCTATTGTAGCACACCAACCAACAGCATGAACATCTAAAGTGCATAAATTGCACCAAAAATCGCAGCAAGCATCTTCACCAAAGCCTTCATATCGTAATTTAGCTTTGTAACCGGCTACTTGGACGACAGACGCAATCCAAAATACTTTAGTATTCAAATTACAATCTAGATTTAGAACTTCGACTTTCATCCCAGAGCCGATTTCGCCCCAATGTGCTGACATAGGAGAATGTTGAAAAAGTTCTACCGTGGCAGCAGAGGATTTTTTATTCACCAAATATGCCCCCCAATCGAACCCCATGCTGATGCACTGTTGTCTTTCTGATTCGGAGGGAAGTTGCAAATTCCGTGTCTTTTTGGGATTAAGTTTAGGCGCAGTTTGGTGCTTGTTAAAACGATGTTGCGCAGAAAAACTGTGAGAGCAAGCAGCACTACAGAAACGCTTGCTATTTGAATAGAAATCCTCTCGGATGCCAGATTTATCGCAATACTCACAAATAGCTGTCTCTTCTTCAACTTCCATCCATATAAAAGTGAAATTCCCTACCAGAAACGTAAATTCTCCTCTCGAGTAAATGTCGCAAAACCCCGTCAGCGCGCACTTTCACCTGTCGGCTCAGGTGGGAGTAACTAAAATATCCCTTACCAGTATTTTATGTAAATATCGAAATTATATTTTGATTTAGTTCTCTTTTATGTCAAAAAATATCCTAAAATTACCAAATTTTGAAAGTAATTCATTTTACATTAAAAAATCTCATTATATTTAAATATATCACATTGAATTGATATAATTTTAACATTTTTATGAACTTGCAACTACAAAAATCTGACATCACCTAATGCAACTTTTTCACTTGCTCTGTATCACCACCTACCAGATTAAAATGTATTCATGATATTGCCGATATTTGGCGCCTGTGAGTAGAATCGAATTTCAATATTCATGATGCCAGATTTTGGTGCATTACTCACTCCAATGGTACAGTAACATAATCACCAAAATTAGTTAGTTGATGATTGTGATGAATAACTGAATTTATAATATTGAAATGATAATAAATACATTTAACTGAGAAATAAAATATTCAATTTAGGAAGGGTTTTGTATATCCAGCTTGCAAATTTGCGAATTTGTGGCAACTGTAAGACCCAATATAAGGACGAATTGATTGGTTGACTTCTGTAGGCGTTTTTGGTCAAGCAGTTTTTGCAGCAGTTGCACATTTATTTCGTGATTTTCTAGACTAGATTTTTAAAGGAAAATGTTTTCTTCGAAGTTATCATGTCTGCAAAGAAGCTTGAAGTTGGGGAATAATGCAAAGGTGATGCATAATTTTCTAATTTACTTGGACGTTCTTTTATATTTAATCAAGGTCATTACAGCAATATGCCGTGTCAGTTTTTTTTAATTCTATACTTATTTTGCTTTCATTTAGGTTTATGGTTAAAACGTATACACCACTTGTGTGATATTTTGATTAGGTTATGAAGACAGTGTAAGACCTAGCATGTTCATGTTGTATGCCAGTCTGGATTTCATGGCCTTTTCGAACGAGAAATCGGGCGTGCAATCATAAATCCCCGCGTGCAAATACGAATTTCTGGCGTGCAATTATAGCTCACGGCTCGCAAAACAACTGCGCCCGCGTGAAACTGACTTCGACCTAAGATACCTCTCAATACATCCGCGTAAAATTACCGGTATTGGATACAAAATATGTTGAATCATAGCAAAAATGGACGTTTGACCTTTGACCCCAAACATTATTTCTATATTATTGTCACTAATTTTGAGAGTGATTGTGCGACTTTAGATACCGGTACTGTTCAGTACATCCGTGTAAAATTATTGTATAAAAAATACGCTGAATCAAAGCCATAACTGGCCAACGTCGGTGAGGAGGCGATCTTTCTCATTCAACACGATATGGTTTTTTGCTTCGCATTTTTCGATCATGCCAAATCTTGCAAGCTAGTATTAGTCGACAATTGTGGAGTTATAAGTTTTTGGCATCTTTATATTACTAGATTATTTGAACCGATTTACATTGGTGAGCAATTGCAAATTTTCGGCGTGCAAAATTGAATTCGCTCGCGTGCATTTTTGTGGAGCGCTAGCGCCCTCGGGCGTGCATCTGCCATGGAATCCAGTCTGGGTTGTATGTATGTATGTAGATTATGTTTATTCGTCTCGTAAAAACAATATAAAAGAGTAAGTAATTATAAATACTGAAGACGGGATGTATGCACAAGACCATATTGGCCTAAAAAACAAATGTGCGGCATACACCCCTTTTGATATATATAAATTATAATAGGGTAAATCAAATATGTACAATATGGTCCTTTATACAGGCAGTTGTGCAAGGAGGGGGTTAATAGTATACTATTCTATTAGTTTATCACATTCAATCTAAAACAGTAAAAGGCAGCATGTAAAAAATTGCCTATTTTTTTTTAACTTGTATTCACAAGACCATGCAATACATTTGTGTCACGAGTCTTATATAAAGTTTTACCAATCTACCTAAATTTTCATGTGATATCATCATCAAAAATTGGGAGCCACCGTACTATAGTGAGGATTCAAGCAATCCTTAACATGTAATTATATCCCACGGGATTCGAACCTGTGAAACTGTATAGCAACGGTTCTTAACTAGGGAGCCTGTGGTCCCCTAAGGGGGCGATAGAGTAGGTAGAGATGGCCACACCAGACTGTATTCCATGGCATTGCACGCCCAAGGTCGCTGGCGCTTCGCAGAATTGCACGCGATCGAATTCAATTTTGCACGTCGAAAATTTGCAATCGCTCACCAATGAAAATCGGTTTAAATTGTTTTTGAATCAATAATTCAGTAATATAAAGAAGCCAACAAATTGTATCTCCACAATTGTCGACTACATACTAGCTTGCAAGATTTGTCCTGATCAAAAAATGCGAAGCAAAAAGGACCATGTTTCATAATTTCTTGGCGGTATGGACGTATGGCACATCGTTTTTAATGAAAGGAATCCCGTAAGAATAGTTATGAGCGAAAAGAACGTCAAGCTCCTCGCCGACGCTGGCCAGTTACGGCTCTGATTCAGCGTATTTCTTATTCAATAATTTCATGCAAAAACACTCCCAAAAATAATGTCAAAGTATAAAAATAATGTTTGGAAGTCAAAGGTCAAACGTCCATTTTTGCACTGAATCAATGTTTTTTTTTATCTTATAAAAATCTTACGCGGATGTACTGAACAGTACTGGAATCCAAAGTTGCACAAACACTCTCAAAATTAGCGACAAACTGTAGAAATAATGTATGGGGTCAAAGGTCAAACGTCCATTTTGCTCTGATTCAACATATTTTTTATCTAATAATTTTACGCTGATGTATTGATCAGTATCTGAAGTCAAAGTCAGTTGCATGCGGCGCAGTCGTTTTGCATGCCATTGACTATAATTGCACGCCGGAATTTCTGATTGCACGCCTGATTTCTTGTTCAAAAAAGGCCATGAAATTCTGACCGGAGCCACAAGTCAACAATGCTGGGCGCAAAACTGATTTTACTTTCAACTTCACAAGAAAACTCTGTCCTTTCTATTTCCATTGCTCGATTTCACAGGATGTTTTCACTTTGTTGAGCATGAATTGTTTGAACACGATGGAAGTTTGGAATCTACCAATTAAAATAACACTCCAAATGCTACTGTAATGATAAACAGGGGCCCATGAGTGCTAGAAGCGTCCGGCAGGGGGCCACGAGGCATAGAAGGTTGGGAACCACTGCTGTATGGGGTAATCAGTGGTGTGATGACGAGGTTGTTCCCATCGCTTAGCACTTATTATTGGACACACAGTGGGCCTTTGTATCGTGTTGTTATGTTGTTGTTGTTCTCAATATTTTTCTTCTCGTCTCATTACCTACTGAACCAATTGCTTTGAAATTTTCAGTGCGGAAAGATTGTATTTTTCGCTAAAAGGCTATTGTTTTTTTTCGTGTCCATATATTTGAGCATAGCTCTTTTGTTATATGTTATCTTATTTATTGTTCTCCATAATTACAGGTAATCTGGACCCGGCCACTCAGCACATCTGTTTTCTCTCTTAGCCAGACAAAATGGAATTGGACTGGAAACGAGACCCTGGAACAAGACGACCCAGAAATCAATTCTTTGATTAAACAAGAAAAAGACAGACAAGTCAGAGGACTGGAACTGATTGCTTCAGAGGTGAGGATTAGGACAGGGACCCGCGAAACCCTTGGGATCTGTGATGACTGCACCAATGTGCCGGAAAGATATAAAAAGAGTCTGATCGCTCTTATTGATTTCTTTTTGTTTGAGCATTGCGGACCAATATCTATTGCTGTCAGAAAAGGCAATTATAATTTTATTGCCTTTTGCAACGACCTACATGTGTGACCTACACCTGTTTTGCTCAGATAAATTATCGTACTTTTCTCAATTATTCCCCTCCCCCCCTACTAATCACATTATCCAGTTAGGGTTAGGAATACGAATTGAGCTCGAAATTCAAATTTCAAATCATTCTTAGCCCCAACTGGACAATTGCTAATTTGTTGTTTTAAAACGTGGAGGGGGGGGGGATAACTGGAAAATTTCCTAAATTTCTAAGTGAGTGCACGTATCTTTCAGCATCCCTGTAGTTTCTAGATTTTAATTTTGCTCATGGTTGAGACATCTAAGTGACATGTGTATACTTTTGAGTAGTGTGCATATCTCTTGGATGAGTTTTCCTGACGAGTTTTCTTCATACATATTATACCACGTTTCTTACTTTACTAATTATCAATTTTTCAGAATTTTGCATCTCGTGCTGCTCTCGAAGCGATGGGATCTTGCTTAACTAACAAATACTCAGAAGGGTATCCAGGTAAATGATTTGGGTATTTATTTAGTGGTAGCACATAGGGTCGAAATAGGGGGGGGGGGGGGGGGGGGTTAAAGTTTGGTGTGTTTCCAAAGCATCTGAGGCTGTACGAGTTACGATTGAGACCGCCAATTAAGCATTTTCAACAGATAATAACATTTTGCATATGTGAAAATGTTTGTTATCAATGATTGCCTGTTTTAAGCAATGTTCTGGATTCGGAGTTGAAATTTCTTAGAGTTGGATCAAAAATCTTCGGTATCTAATCTGGTCAAAACTTTAGGCGTATCGTTTTCTGGCTTCAATTTTCTTGATATGGTATCATTCTTTTATGGCTTTTATAGCTCTGACTATTACTTGTAAAGATTTAAAAAAAAACTCCGCAATCAATTACCCTCCTGTGTTACCCTTACCTCAATTACTCTTTTGCTTTTGGAATAGTTTTTGCTTTATTGGACACGAAGTGGACATAACGATCGTTTCAAAATTTTGTTGTTATTGTTATTGTTATTTGTCTCCGTCTCCATTTTTAAAAAATCGCTTTTCTCTTCGAATACTGGACCAATTGCTTTGAAATTTTCAGTGGTTAAAGATAAAAATTTTTTTTTTCGCTATGACGTCATCAAAATTATTGCCATTGGGTGGCGCTACGTGTCCATATATTTGAGCATAGCTCTCTTATTAAGTTTATTTCAGTTTTCGGTAAACCTTGCATTTATTTTTATATTGGAAATCTGTTTTCATTTTCAGGTCAAAGGTACTATGGCGGAACAGAAATTGTTGACAAAATCGAACTTTTGTGCCAGAAGAGGGCGCTAGAGGTATTTCGACTTGATCCAGAAAAATGGGGAGTGAATGTACAGCCCTATTCAGGTATGTTCTTGAAGGATTATTGCTTGTTATTTTCTATGAAATATTTAAAAAAAAAAAGCTATTGAAATTTTGGCTTGATGGCTGCAGATTCGTCTGTGACGTGGCATGGCATTAATTGCGTGGCATGGCATTGGAGATAAAATTTTCGTATAACAAATCAAAGTTCAAGTTTCTGGCTCAAGGACTGGGTTTACCTAGTTTATATTTTTTTGGAAACTAATTTTTGTTGTCTTAGATCTGTTGGCATAATTATTTTTAGATAGGGATGGACAAGCAAAGCATTTTGGCTCCTGTTCTGTGAGAAAGTTGTGAAAATATCTCACAACTAAATACAAAATTTAGATTTATTTTTAAACTTCATTTAAAATATCTAGACCAGGGGTGGCCAACCTATGGCGCATGCGCCAAACGTGGCGCATTGCATGATTAGAGGTGGCGCATTGCATCTTTAACCCTTTTCATGCCAAAATTGTTAATTGCACTTGGCTTCTCCACGCCAAGCCGTTTTTTTTGCGATTTACATGGTGACTTTTGATTGTACCTAAAATCTATTCTCCTTACTCCACGTCGCCCACTTACGGCTTGTTGGAATTAGAAACAACAGGCGATTATCGACGTTAGTTTTTGGACGGACTTTATGACATTCATTCTGGACTTTTAGCAAAAATTAGTAAAATTTACTATTTTTTCCCTACTGAGGTAAAAAGTTCAGAACTTCTGGAAAAATAGAAAATCGTCATTTATCAGCTTGAAACATGGATTTTCCATTGCCCAGACTTCCCAAATATCTCCCAATAACCATTGAACAACCAGTTGAATTGCCCAAGCCTAAAAGACTTATTATAAATCAACCCACAACATGCTGAAAATGACCCCTAAATACCACCTTTTTCATCCAAACTTCAAATGACAGTTGTCAACAAAAGCGAAGCGTAAAATCGCTTGCTGTGACGCAAGTACTAATCTCGAAGAAGCCTGGAGTAAAATCACGCGACACTAGGCCAAACAGCTGATTAGCAAATCAATCAATCAATCAATTTTATTCGGTAACTCTGATACAAACAAAACACAAAACAACAACAAAGGGACAAACAAAATACAGAGGACCTGGAGGACGGGCATAACTTAATAAAAAAGTTAAATACGTACAAGTACGTGCCCGTCCCCCAAAAACAGAATAAAACAAAAACACGATGTGACATCGGGCAATATCTTATAAATTCAAATTAAAATGTGAGACGTGTATGTGCTTTTCCTATACAGATATATGGATTAAAGAACACTCGCTGACGAAAAATGGTGATGTTGTGGGCCTACTTCAATTATATTGCAAAAATAACACAGTGACAAATTTTTTTTTACTAAAAAACAAGCTTGGTAAATGGATTGAATGTTCCATAGCAGTCTATGCACAAATCATGGATTGGGGTATTGGGTTCTTTTGTCGTTTTCGGTTAGTTCAGTTTAAAATCATTGTATCCGTTCCAATGCTTCCAACATTAATATCGAATTTCCACGAACGACCACCATTCAGCCATTCCAACAGGTGCAGTGATCCCATCTTTTCTATGCTCTGTTCCATCATACACGACTAGATTCATAAAAGGATCGTCCACCATTTAACTTTAAATCCAATCTTTTATCCATAAACTTCTCTTATTTTAGTGGATGGGCTTTGCTCGTGTTGATATTGCGCGATACAGATTACAGATACCGAAACATACAACGCGTAGCATTCACTAGTCTTTTCAAGCTGACACGTCCGCACCCGGCGACGGTCGGAACGGAACAATTAGAATCGAGGGTAGAGTAGAGTAGATATTGATACTAAAGGCCTGTTGTCACAACATTACGCCTAACTTTACTTCTTTATCGTACCTTTTTCTCTTCGTGTTAAAAACAGCTTTATTGCGTAATGCTCATAAGACAGAATGCGTTTTTCTCCTACTTTCAAGAAGGCTGTAGTTTTTACTTGAAGCATGGCGTCACAATGGTTCCCTGTTTCGTAATCAATCGTAATCTGTTTATCGTGAATTGCTCGAATTTTTGCATGGATACGAGAATTTTCGTTGAGTTAACTATATATATATGCGGCTGTCATTGAAATTTATTCATTGATCAGTTTTATTTATTATGCTTCCTTGCTTAATTTCTATTCATGTGAAGTTGTAAATTGTAAAAACTACATATACGTGTGTATATATGTGTGTGTATTATAAATTTATATAATTTCAACAAGAAGCGGACATTAGGCGTGGGAATACAAGAGATTTACGACGCATCTGAAACATTATGTTTAAAACGTGGCGCATGGTATGTGAAAGGTTGGCCATCCCTGATCTAGACCATAGGTTCTCAAAGTGCTCCGTACGGAGCCCCAGGGCTCCGCGAGAGAAACCCAGGGGCTCAGCGAGCTATTCGATTATTTTTCAAAATACTGACTTGGCTAATTTAAAACTGTTCCTAGAAGCAATAACAGCTTTGATAAAATTTGACAACAATATAGCCTCGAAATATGGCAAAGTGGCGGACTTAAAAAATGACATTATTTATAAGCAGGAACGCAGCCAGGATTCTAAAGAGGGAGGAGGTTCAAATTTGGAATCGGAAATTTACGCGCAACATTCTTGGCGATTAAAAAAAAAACGGATAACGAGATTTCTGTTGCGTAAAATATTCAATTCATGACCGATGAGAGTATTTAAAGTGTCTTGTCGTAATAATTTAATTGTGCTCATCGTTACTCACGTTCGATTCGAGATTACTATTAGGATTACTAAAATGAAAGTATACTATTCTAGAGTAACATAAACTGCGTGAATGACGGCGGATGAACTGCTAACTATAAATAAATTGGAGTCGTATTTTTGCGATCTTGGGATTTGTTAAACTTGATTTGTTCTTTCGCACTCGAGATTATTTTTAAGCAAGATATCGCCGTTTGAAAAATCACAAGGTCTTGGAAAAATACGAACGATTGAAATTTATTTTAGTGCATGTGGCTCCGTCGGTAGTTTCAGAGTGGAAAAATGATATATTGCGCGCTTAATTGACTGTGTTTCAATTTCGCAGTTACCACGATGAATAACCGAAGAAAACCTAACATAACACCAAATTTTGTGATTTACAATGTCTATAAAAGCGTTTTTATTCTGACGTGAGTCTGCCGAAACAAAACTTATAGTCTTATTTTCCATTTTAAGTTTTATTTACAATATTTCAGAATGCCGCTTTTTAATCAAGAAATTTGACTAGCAGATTTACCTCTTTATGAACTATTATTTTTAGCATTTCGTCGCCGATGATTATGATATGGTAACATGTTTTTCACATTGAACTCATAATTCCCCACGAGAACAAAAAAGCAATTATCGTCGTCATTGTGGAACAATACACGTATATGCCGAAGGAAATTTTTGATTTAGGGAGAATAAACACCGGCGTAAAGAGGTTTGAGGTTTAAAAGCACGCCATGCTGACGAAAACAATCGGCGATTGTAACAAAATGCAATCGCGCACGTTATTAGAGGCCTTTTAAGTCTTCCAAAAATGTCAACAGGGGAAAAGATTCGACCCCTAATTTATTAATATGCTTGTCAAGTTTACAGCTTTAGTATATACAATTTATCTTTGAATTTTAGATTTATTTATGACATGTATTAACCCTATTAAAAGGGTTTAGTATTTGAATTGAGTAAAGTACGTTTAACTTACTCAGGAATATTAATCGGAAAGTAACAATTTTAACATTTATTTTGGGGCTCCGTGAATAATAGTCAACCTTTTCGAGGGCTCCGCAACACCTGAAGTTTGAGAACCCCTGATCTAGACTATGAATTGTTGCAATAATATAAATGCCTTTTTCATCTCCAGTATGACAATGTCAGAACAATGCAAACAATGCAAAAATAATTTTGTGGCCCGCGGAGCCAACAACCTTGGACCACCCTGATCTAGATTATGAATTGTTGCAATAATATAAATGTCTTTTTCATTCATTTTCATTTTTCCAGTTTGACAATGTCAGCCACCATTAAATTCGGCTCTATCATAGCGAATGGCAATACTGATTGTGACATCACATGCGGTCATTCACAAACATGATCTTCCTGATGCAGCCCTGGCAAAATTCAAATATCTTTGTTTGTTATTGAACATGGAACAGGGGCACGTGTAACTGGGACGAGGGGGAAAGGGGGCTAGAGTCCTTCCCCCATTTTTTTTTAAATGTAAAATGAATTAAAGCATTTTTCTGTGTGGTACAAAGCAAATTTTCATAGCTTGAACGGCTTTTTAGAACTGTAAGACTCTTGGAAACCCACAAACCCGCCATTCCATGGGTGGGCAACATACGACCCGCGACGAGATTTTGACCGGCCCGCTGACTGTATCCAACCGCGCTCTGTAATGTGGTCCGACGCATCATTCTTGGAAGCTCTACTCTCACCATACTGTCAGTGCGAGTTGGTGAAATAAACAATTGCCTTAGTGAACAAACAATTGCGTTAGCACACTTGTTAAACGAACAATATAAGGTCAAAGCAGAGAGCGTTGTAAACATTCCCATTAATATTAAGTTTTATTAACCATGGAATATCCTAAGAAACGTAAAGTTGACAGAGTGTCGAGCATTTAACAAAGATTGGATACCGAAGTATTTTTCTAATAATCCGGCCCCACCGAGAACTTCATTCTCCCACATCTAGACTAGAGAAGTCTCCCACTCCGGCGCTAGTTGATGCGGTTTAACTTGTCGATTTGAGATTTCAGAACTCACTCCCCCTTTGAAAATACCTGCTATGCCCCTGACATGGAAGTATGTTGTGAAAAGTTATCAGAGTTTGTCTTATTTTACGTTGTTCTGGTTTAAAAACGCTGTGTCATTCTTTACAGGTTCCCCAGCGAACTTCGCCGCTTACACAGCAGTTTTGAATCCGCATGACAGAATCATGGGCTTGGACCTTCCTGATGGCGGACAGTAAGTTTCATTGTTCCCTGTTTCAATTTTTACATGAACTGTGAAATGTGCTCACTGAAGCATGACAGGTTGAAAATAGAGCTCAATACCACGTCTTTAATAACAGCTGTGTATTTTTTAACCAAACTCAATAATTCAGCATTCTCGCATCCTAGCAACAGTTTCCTAGCAACCTATGATCTGTAACCTACGTTGCCATCACATTAAATGCTAGTGCAGTGCTTCCAAACCTTTTATGGCTCGTGGCCCGCGCACGAAGGCTTCTAGCCTTCATGGGCCTCCTTGGTTTATCATACCAGTGTTTATTTTGGTAAATTCCAAATCCCATTATGTTCAAACAATTCATGCTCAAGAAAGTGAACAATGTGGAATAACCTTATCAAGCAATGAAACTAGGAAGAACCGAGTTTTCTTGCAAAGGGAAAAGTAAAATCAGTTTTGCGCCTGGCAGACCCCCGTCGACTGCTCTTTGACCCCCGTCAACTGCTCTTTGACCCCCGTTAGGAACCACTGCGTTAGACCATCGGACCCTAATTTTTCCTGATCTGCTCCGAACTCTATTCATTCTTTTTCAGTCTTACTCACGGTTTCATGACGGACACGAAAAGGATCTCAGCTACGAGTATTTACTTTGAGTCGATGCCTTATAGATTGAATGTAAGTGTAAATTTTGCTTCTTTGAATATTTTTCTTTTATGGTCATTTCACCTTTGACCTTTGCAAGACGTTCTCTAAGAACTTCATTTAGTAAGATTTTGCATCTCATGGGAATTTTCCTAAACAAGGGGACTCAAATTGTGTAATTGTCTTGCATTCGGTATTTACAAACGCGCAATTTTATGCGATAATTCTTCGTAATGTCAGTAATGGTGGGTAGGGCTGGGCATTTCGAATCTAATAGTAAATTATTCGAATCGGTTAAGAGAAATTTTCGAATCGCCGCCATCTTGTTTTACTCTTTCCACCAATGGTCGAGGTAAATTTTTCAATTTTTTCATCGAAGCCAATTGTTTTCAACACAATTCTGACATATGACTCTTTTCTGTATTGAGTTATTGATGAAAACTTGTTTTTTTATTGTCAGGAATGTATTCTATATTTTCAGTAATTTATGTGTCTGGAGGACCTAAAATAATAAGAAAATTACATACAACTTCATACCTTCCAAGTATTTGAGATTCGATTTGAAAAAATTATTCGATTCGATTCTGAAATCATCAGGTATTCGAAAATGCCCAGTCCTCGCAGTAGCCATTGACGCTCACATGGGTGGAAATACATACAGTAATGATTTTTGCTCGTATCGCTGTGTTAAATCTTTCGCCATTTTAGCTGGTGCCTGTATTGCTGTAAGGCTAAGCGATAGCTGCCTTATCTTCACTTGCCTTTTCCCGGTCATTTTTTAAAAATTCGTCTTGTACATTTTGTGTGACCCAACTAGATGTCTGAAGTTGGTAATATGACAATAAACGTCACACACCACTGGGTTAAAACCACGTTACAATTTTTCCTTTGCATCTCACTAAAAAAACTAAAATGGGTGCTCCCGAAGTATGCGAACCAAGATGGCGGACATCTGAACGTAACACGGGTAACAGGTTAAGGTTAGGCGATAATTTTTTTCCAATTTTCCTTATTTCAGTCCTATTATCAGTTCGAAGACTAGCCAAGAGCCTCCCGTAGTATTTATACCTAAAATTATGGCCTAACCCTAACCTAGTACACATATTACATTTCGATGTCCGCCATCTTGGTTCGCATACTTCGGGAGCCCCCTAAAATGTTAGTACTTGCAATAATTCATGACTTAATAGATCACCGAAAAAGATTGCCTCAAAATATTTTTCCTCTCAACAGCCTAACACAGGTACAATAGATTACGACAGCCTTGAAGCAAACGCAAAATTATTTCGACCTCGTCTGATTATCGCTGGAGCAAGTGCTTACTCAAGGAAGATTGACTATGAGAGAATGAAGAAGGTAAGAAGAGTCGGTAGACCAGTGGTTCTCAAACGGTGTGGCTTGCCCCGAATAAAACAACACTTTGGATATTAACAATCCATCCCCATATTTTCAACGTGTTTTTGAATAAAACCTAACTTGTCCTTACTATCTGTTATTTATAGCTTATTACTTATCGATTTTAATCGGTAAGTATGTTGATAGGTATTTGTCTGTATGTCTGTTAGATGCACGCGATATCTCACGAAAGCGAGATTGAATCTGCTCCAGATTTTGCATGTGCATTCATCTTATCTTGGATCAGAAGCCTATTGATTTTGGGCGAATTATGTCATATAATTAGCGAGTTATCAACCAATTATTGATGAAGTGATCTAGATTTTTGTAAAGCGAGAGAATTTTGAGACCCGCTGGGCGCTGAGTGTGTGTGTGTGATGCGCAGTGCGCAAGTTACAAGAGCGGATGAACCGAAACTGCAGTTTCTGTTTTCGGGGATCCCCTAACTATCGATCGATAAGTCTTCGGTTTCCGACCGATATTCTCGTTGTTAGCTAGTTATTTCTGAGGTGGGTGTGAGACTTGACAAATTCTAAAAAGGGGCGTGGCTCAAAAAGTTTAATAGCCACTGCGTTAGACAATTGATTCATTATGCTTCAAGGGTTTCTGGCAACAGGACAAATCTTGAAATTTGAAATAAGCAAAAAAATAGGTTTTCGTTATGCTGGAAATTTCTAATTGCCAAGTTAGCTTGTATCAGCTGACAGGTCTGACAGAAGGCCATAAAACGTGGGTTGTGAGCAATGTTCCCTCTAATTTTTTGTATTATGTGTGCGCAGAAATTTTGGTGTGTGTGCACTTTTTTGGAAATGACTAATATTTGTGCAAAAACCAATGAAGAAATTTTGGCGTTCTAACCAGGTAATAAGTGGGCCAACAACAAACTTTCTCAACCTGCCAACCGAGAACATTGTTACATGATGTGCACCAGCTGTCATGTGAACAAAGTCGTGGTTTTTTCTCTCCTACAGCGACTAACAAAATTCTCTCTTTTCAGATCACAAACCAACATAACGCATATCTCCTTTCTGACATGGCACATATTAGCGGACTAGTGGCAGCTGATTTAATGCCGTCACCGTTCGAACATTCCGATATTGTTACTACGACAACACACAAGACACTAAGGGGCGCTAGATCTGGACTCATTTTTTATAGGTTTGTTTTCTGTGTGTTTTTTTTTTTTATTCTAAAAGTACAGAATGAACAGAACAGAACTTATGGCCATAAATTTTCCTCTTATGCAAATGAAGAAAACAATATTTACACTTGAATTTCCGTTTTTTTTTTACATGATTGTACCCAATAGTTTTAGTATTCTAGCCCACTTTCCACAAAAGTTAGTTTAGTGTTAGCAAGGCTATCTTTATTTCTGCTACATCAGGACCAGGGGCCAACAATTTTGCCCATACTGACTGGAGGGCCATGTGAGTGTGGCGTAAAAAATTCCATTTTATGGAGAGTGTTACAAAAGCAAAAGTGGAAAACAATAAGCCTCACGCCAAAACTAAATTTAATCTCAATCTGACAAATTCCTTGAGCTATTTTTTAGCTAAAACATCAAACTTTGGTTTCAGTTTGATTGTGGCAATTGTCAAAACATATTTGAAATTTCAATAAGAACAAATATATATAGTGCGTGCAAAATTGGTTAAAAGCAGAAATTTATGGCAGAATCAGGCGGGCCAGATTGAATCAACCAACATGACGGATTTGGCCCATGTCAGCGCTGCAGCATCCTTGCATTATATACATACAGATTAGAGGTAAGATCGGGTTAAAAAATTCCAGCCCGACCCGACTCCGGAACGTGGGTATTGAACCCGACCCGAGCCCGACTAATTAACTGGATTTGCAGGCCCGACCCGACTAATTAACTGAATTCGCAGGCCCGAAATTTCATATTTTATTTAGGAGTTCTTCTTTTGTGAGCTCTATAATCTGCACATCCATTTGACAATGCTAATGGATAGAGGGTAGCTAAAGGTTTTACTGGGCAAACTAAGAAATTCCCTAGCTACACACATATTATCATCAAGAGGCATTCAAAAACGTGTCAAATGTCCCGCTGCACTCCACTTGTGCGGCACATTAAATTAAACGAGGTATGCCGTTAAAAAGCAATGAATAAGCATCATCATCCAAAGAACTACGAAACTTTAAATTTCGAAATTTAATATTTATGAAATCGGAACCACTCTGAAAAATAGTTTCTAATAAACATATATTTACTTATGAAAAATCCAGCGATATATAAGCCCGACCCGAACGTAATGATTGTCATTTCAGACCCGACCCGAACGTAATGATTGACAAATCAGGCCCGACTCGACCCGAACGCAATGTTTGACATTTTAGGCCCGGCCCGAACGTAATGATTAACAATATAGGCCCGACCCGAACGCAATGCTTGATATTTCAGGCCCGATCCGATGGTCGGGTCGGGCTGGGGCTCGGGCTCCAGATCTTAGCTCTAATACAGATCCACCAGCGCTGAAGCATAGAAGAAGAGTAACCAGTTGCTAACCCAATCAATTGAATATTGAATTTATACTGTGTTTTCCAGAAAAGGTGTCCGAAGTACATCAAAAAAGACAGGGAAAGAAATCAAGTACGATTTGGAAGATCGAATAAATTTTGCTGTTTTCCCAAGTTTACAAGGGGGCCCTCACAACTACGCCATAGCTGGCGTTGCTGTGGCCCTCAGACAGGTAATGGGCCTCTTTGAAAAATATTTTGAAACTGGTGGTGATGGCCAACTTCAGACTGGAGCCTGTGAACCTCGCCTCATTTTAAAATTTAGACTATTTATTGAAAAATTTAAGAAACGACTCTAAGACAAAAATATTTTCATGTGATTTGTTTCCCGTCTCATGGTTTTGAAGGGAATTTTGACTTTTTATTTTAGCTTCAAAGTAATAATGAATTTCTGAACTTTTTAGAAAACGTCCACAACCCTGTTTACAGACTAGCAAGAATTTTGATTTTGAATCCTACTGACTTCAGTTTAAGGGAAATTTTGTCACCGACTTCTAATCCACACATTTTGATAATGAAACCCCGAATCATTTTAAGATTGACTACAGATTAACAGAAAATTTGCTCTCGACTTCAGAATTGAGGAAATCCTGACTTTAGTATATTATGCTTGCATTCTTCAATTGCATGAACCCTCTTTTTCCGCTGTATACAATCGACTTTTTGTACCATTTTATCATATGTAATGACCAGTTAACCAAACGTGCAAGGAACACCCCCAATATCTCTTTAAAAACTTATTTTTGCGTCTTCCTACTAAAACGCGCCCAAATGACGTACGCGCAATCCGTTCAACCATACGCCGGTAAGAAAAGAGAAATTTCAAAAAATTTTGAGAGAAAGTTTCACACTCTTATCGAGATTTCAAGCGCTCTGCTCAAAGAGCGTTACGTCACCTTTGCAGAAAAACCAGACTCAGCTTCGCAAGCGAAGCGAAACGCGAAATAATCAATGATATGTGAGAGCATGTTCACGATAGTTGTCTGGAATCTTTGTTTGTTTATTATGTGCGCGAAATTGTTTCCCGCTCGTTCAAATGACTTATCTTTGAAGTAATGACAAATACTTTCATGTATCTCTAAGCTTTGAAATACCTACACAAATAAAATTCACTTAGTAGTAAAATAAAAAATTTACAAAAAAAAATGTTGACCGATCAAGCACGGATCATAGTTGGATGCCTAAAAAGATTTTAGTTAGTGCGGGAATACTTCACAAAACAGTTTGAGAATTTGAGATCTCTGATTGTTTTCTAACTCTCTGGATTTTCCCATTTTTATTTCTATTTTGGATTCATACAAAAATCTTTGCTGGTTTCACAGCCCCGCCTAAAACTTGACAGGCCAATAATTAAACTGTAACTCAACTTTTATTTCTCCAGGCGATGTCGCCAGAGTTCAAAGAATACCAGATTCAAACAATGAAAAACGCAAAAGCGATGTCAGATGCATTGCAATCTTTGGGATATAATGTGGTATCAGGTGAGATGTTGCTCTGTTCTGGCACCACGCTGGTCTGACATATAATTTGTTCTCAACGGGTATATTTTTGTACACTCAGCACTGGCACATTAACAATTATCCAATGCTGTTTCATATATATATATATTTTGTATCTTACTATTAAACATATGATGCAAGTCCTAATTACTTATCGATCTTAAGATCGGTAAGTATATTGATAGGTATTTGTCTGTATGTCTGTCTGTCTGTTAGATGCATGCGATATCTCACGAGAGCGAGATTGAATCTGCTCCAGATTTTGCATGTGCATTCATCTTATCTCGGACCAGAAGCCTATTGATTTTGGGCGAATTATGTCGTATAATTAGCGAGTTATCAATCAATTATTGATATAGTGATCTAGATTTTTGTAAAGCGAGAGAATTTTGAAACCCGCCGAGTGTGTGTGTGCGATGCGCAGTGCGCAAGTTACAAGAGCGGATGAATCGAAACTGCAGTTTCTGTTTTGGGGGATCCCCTAACTATCGATCGATAAGTCTTCGGTTTCCAACCGATATTCTCGTTTAGCATATCGGTATGTTGGGATTAACATTAACAATGGGATTATCAATTTTAACAATTCAAGGCAAAAAAATTATTGTTGAAATTCTTAAATTTCATTGTTCTGAAAAATGCCTGCTTGATATCAAATAAAACCCAACTGTTTCAAATCCTTTACGTTATCGTTATAGGAATTAAACTCAATCAATTTTACTCATTCAAATGGTTTTCATGTTTGTTACTCCCTCAGGTGGCACAGACAATCATCTTGTACTCGTTGACCTTCGACCTAAGGGAATCGATGGAGCACGAACAGAAAAAGTTCTTGAAGCGGCGTCAATAACAGCGAACAAAAACAGCGTTCCGGGAGATAAAAGTGCACTCATACCTGGAGGACTAAGGCTGGGTGAGCCAGATAAACGATTTACTAAAATTAGTTACCTTATATTTCTTTCCACGCCGAACAAAGCAAGACGCCAATGATTTTTTTTGACATTCATAATATATATTCGGTATCTCATGCCTGTTTTGCCCTAGGATTTCCATTTTTTAATAAACCTTTTTTTTGCCCAGATTTTTTGTTTAAAACCCTTGTTTTGCCCCAGGATTTCCTTATTTTGAAAAACAATTGTTTTGCCACAAATTTTTAGTATTTTTAAAATCACGCCACTGGATGGATCATCCCTTTTTGGAATCAATTTTCGCAAGCTAATCTCTTTTAAGCGGTATACATCATTCTGATTTTACTTCCAGGTGCTCCAGCGCTGACGTCTCGTCATTTTGTTGAGGACGATTTCCGTAAAGTCGTCGATTTTTTGAACAGAGGAGTAGAAATAGCAGTTGAAGCCAAGACACGTACAAGTAAGTTATATTGGTCAAAAAAATTAGGGCCATCTGCCGGGGAGACTCAAATAGTGACTGGTGTCTAAGGCAATGGTTTTTCATGCAACGGCACAGACGATTTTTCAAGGATCGTGAAGCTAATTAATTTACATTTCTTCATTTTGACAAGACTTGACAAATTTTAAAAAAGGGGCACAGCCTAAAAAAGTTTGGAAGCTGCTGGTCTGAGAATTTTCAGAAGTGTAACTAACTCCTGAAATCTACCTGAAGCATGCAAAAAATTAGTTCCTTAATGTACACAACCAGAGCGCTATGGGAATGTCAAGAAAAGAGAGTGTCACTCAGCCTTATATAATACGGGCACTGGTCAAAGGGGCGAAAGATTTAACCCAGCGACAAAAGCAAAAATTGCATGTATCTTTATCCATGGGAACGCATTTTTAAACCGTGGTTTAGACAGTTTTTTTTGAGGAGGCCTATGGCTAATTAATGTCATCATCGATCCATCGCATAAAACTAATCCTGTAGAGGCCACAGAAATTAACAATATAAAATAAACGAGAATATCGGTCAGAGACCGAAGACTTATCGATCGAAAGTTAGGGGATCCCCAAAACAGCGCTCTTACTCCATAGTGACACCTTGTGTCTGGCCCATCACTAATTAATTAATAACTCGCTAATTATACGACATAATTCGCCCAAAATCAATAGGCTCCTGGTCCGAGATAAGATGAATGCACATGCAAAATCTGGAGCTTTCGTGAGATATCGCGTGCATCTAACAGACATACAGACAGACAAATACCTATCAACATACTTACCGATTAAAATCGATAAGTAATAACAGTTTGAGAACCACTGGTCTAGACAAGGATATAGGCTGATATGTGAGATGTTACGGTTTTTTGAAGTATACCGGTACTTATGATAAAGCTAATGAATAGTATTGCCTGAGATTGATATATACCAGTGGTCTCAAACAGTGGCTCGCGCCCCGCAATGGGGGAGTAGGAGCCAAACAAAAATATTTGTTATATTTGATTTTACTCGTCCTATTTTGGATATTTATGTTCCATCCACGTATTTTCAACGTTTTTTTTTAATAAAACATACTTTTCCTACTGATTGTTATTTGTAGCTTATTGTTAGCTGGTTAGTTATTTTTGAGGTTGGCGTGAGACTTGACAAATTCCAAACTATTTTTTTGTTTATAATTTATTTTTGTGATATTTATTTTTAGAAAAGCTTGCAGACTTCATCAATTTTATAAAATCAGACGCCGAAGTCCAACGTAAAATTTCAGAATTGCGAAAGGAAGTTGAAACGTATGCGAGAAAGTTCCCAATGCCTGGATTTCCAGATCACTGAACGGGGAGTAGTGGGGGTAAAAAGCCCCAAAAAAATTTGTTTTGGGTTAAATTAAACAGATTTTTTGCATATTTTATTTATCGTGAAACAAATTTTGCTCAAAGTTTTTACCAATTTTAGGAATTTACGTTTTAAAATATAAATAGCGTTTGAATAAATCTTCAGGGTATTTTATTATTCATTTTAAAGCTCCACCCTTGACATGAATGAATGATGACATACACGTGTACTATTTGTCAAGTCCATGCATCTGAATCCCTTACCTATTCCATTTTTTTCCGCAAAATAGTACCTCCCTACCCAACAGTGTCAACTTCATTTTTAGCATTTCTGGACAATCTTTCAATTTTGATTCATAATTTTGATAATATTATCTTATTATACATAGTATGTATAACATGGGTGTGCGACAGGCGGCCCATGAACCACAATCCCGTCAAGCCTATTACGGTGGCTCGTGTCAACACTCAGATATCTCGCCATCAAGCATAAATTACCAATCTTAATAGTTTATGTTTATAATGATTTTTGCGCTTGTCACTGCGTTATATATTTCAACGTTTCACCTGTTGCCTTTATTACTGTAATTCATTGTGTGGAAAAACTAAAAATTTTTGCATGGGCCAGGTAGATGTCTGGAGACGGTTAATTGTCCTGCTGACAAAAAATGATGCACAACACTGGCGTTTTTTACCCGACATGATGTTCTGCTGAGTGTTATTATAAGGTTGTGGTGTTGTAACCAGTGAAGGGATTCAAATTTTTTGTCAGCCGGTTCCATCACAAAAGTCATATTTTTCAACCGCTTCTGTTACAAACAGAACATTGACAGTAACCAGTAATGCTAACCGGTTCGCTGATATCATAAAATTCTGTGAGACGGTTCTATAGAACCGGTGTGAACCAGCTGAATCCCACCGCTGGTTGTAACTATTGGTAATTTTGTCCAAACTTTGCCATGCTAAAGTCAGGAATCTTTGAGTCGTTTTTTAAATGTATTCCGAGTTTGAAATCTTCACAGCCATGTAAGCATTGAAACAGGTGTAATTTTGTTTAATATATTTGTCTTTTATTCAATGTCTTTGCTTTCATATTACTTTGGTTTTAATATTGCTCGAGTGCCTTGTACACTAAACCACGACTTTCCAATTTTTTAAGCTCGTGACCGCATTCCAATATATTAAGATTTTCCACAACCCCTGTTAAGTCGACATTGTTTTGCGGCGGGCAGCGTAAGATTCGTGTTTTAGTTTTGATAATTGTGTTTCGAATCGAAAGTCTTAAAATGTACAATTAGCTATAGTACTCTCTGTGAAATTGGTGTACACTTTGCTATCCTTAAAATTCATTGCGGCCCCCAGTTTGGGAAAACTTGCATTGATTTTTCTAGTAGAACCCACCTTTCCAATAGAAGTGCCTTAGTATTTTTTAATGTGCCAGTGTTAAAATTTATTTGCTAATAGATTTATCGCTAAAAAGGTAAAAGGGTCATTACTGATCGATCTTGATCGGTAAGAATGTTATTATGTATTTGTCTGTCTGTTAGATGCACGCGATATCTCATGAAAGCGAGTTTGAATGCTCGAAATTTTGAATGTGCATTCATCATATCTCGGACCAGAAGTCTATTGACTTTGGATGAATTATGTCGTATAATTAGCGAGTTATTGATTAATTAGTGATGGGACATGCGATGTCGCTATTGAGTCGGAGCGAAGGAATCGAAACCGCAAGATCAATAAGTTTTATCGATGAGTGTTATTCTCTTGTGCGGTTTATGTCAACTCCATTTTTTTATTAATAGTAATAGTGTTAATGTTTCATAATGTGTTAGCTTTAAAAATGTCTTTATTGGTAGCTGATAGACTGGTTCATCGTTGTAGATAGAATTTAGAGATGTTAGGACATGTTATTTTTCGTGCAATCAAATGGTACCTTGAGGCCACATTTTCTGACGTCATGTTTTTGTGTTATGATGTCATTTAGTAATCTTGTAAGTAATCTTGATTGTGTGGGAAATATTCCACTAACTGAATATTCAGAAAAATATAACAGTAAAATTTTTTAAGATTTGAATTTTTATAAAATTTTCCCATATATAAAATATTTTGTAATCTTCGCTATGAACCAAATATTTTTTATCGTGTCAAAAATATTCCAGAGGTGAAATGTAGCGAAAAATTTTTTTTTTTTCATATCAATTTGAAATGTTCATATACAAGTAATATACTCAGAATTCTGCATGCCAAACTGTTTATAAAATTTCTAATTTTACATCTGCTCACCGCAAGGACCCTGTGTGAAGTAGGCCAGGGCCTAGTTTGAATCAAGTCAGTGAATTACTTTGTAAAGAACTTGGAAAAACTTGTTACACTATGATTGGGGTCTTTGCTTCGAGCGGCAAGTGAATGATGGGTGTCCAACGAATTTCACTCGATCTTTTAACAATTGTAAAATCAAATGAATTTTGGTGCTCCCGAAGTATGCGAACCAAGATGGCGGACATCGGAACGTAATATGTGTACTAGGTTAGGGTTAGGCCATAATTTTTTTCCAATTTTAGTCCTATTATCAGTTCGAAGACTAGCCAAGAGCCTCCCGTAGTATTTATACCTAAAATTATGGCCTAACCCTAACCTAGTACACATATTACATTCCGATGTCCGCCATCTTGGTTCGCATACTTCGGGAGCCCCCGAATTTTATTGTATGATAGATGAGAATTCCAAGCACAATAGGAACTATTAATATACAAAGACAAGGAAATTTTCAATTGTTATCACTATAAAATTGGGCGCAATTTTTTGGACACCCTGTAAGGTTTTGTGGAGGGACCATAATTATTTAAATAATGACACACAACCAATCACAAAAATTCCTAAAATACTTCATCATTAGGGAACAAAAGTTATGCGACGTGACCTCTCATTCCAACTAATACCTCAAATTTCTCCTGTTATTGTGAAAATTTAGTGTTCTTATTGGGGAGAGGAAGGTTATTAAGATTGATCAAAAATTCAGCATTCTACCTTTGTATATAATCTGCATTTTTTTGGTTTTTCTTCGTTTTTTAAAAAGGAACAGGGGAAAAGTCATGGGGCTCCCGAAGTATGCGAACCAAGATGGCGGACATCGGAATGTAATATGTGTACTAAGTTAGAGTTAAGTCATAATTTTAGGTATAAATAATACGGGAGGCTCTTGGCTAGTCTTCGAACTGATAATAGGACTAAAATAAGGAAAATTGGAAAAAAATTATCGCCCAACCCTAACCTGTTACCCATGTTACGTTCCGATGTCCGCCATCTTGGTTCGCATACTTCGGGAGCACCAAAGTCAATTTTTTTCTAAATAACATTGTACCTGAACAGGTGTTTTAGTATTGAAATACATGACAAATATAATCCGAATATACACTCTGTACTAACTGTGTGTGTCCATTAAGTCTTGAAATCTTTCAAAATTGCAAAGGGATTTTATCGATACCATATATTTTGAACCTCAGATGTATTAAATGAAGTGAAAATACTTGAACAATTACTGATTAAAAAACAACAACAAATCTGGTTAAGATATATTGAGAACTGACTTTATAACCAAAATTGAAATTGTAAATGGACTTTATGTATATTTAGGATAGATATCTTTGTGTATATAATACCGCCAATAAAATAAAAGTTGCATATGTTTGCTTCAGCACACTTACTCATTTTGAGACATCATGCTTTGTCAACATCCCTGGTTTACAAACACACTTCTCAGCATGAGTAATTTCTATTACGTATAAGTGATTTTTGGCGCTCCAGAAGTATGTGTACCAATATGGAGGTAACTAATTTTATTTGCCTACTTTACATCAAGTTGTGTGAAGGGACTAAAACTTATGGGCAGGAGGTATGTTCACTTGGCTAACACAGACCGTCAATGAAATCTGAATAAAATTATGGCCTGAACCCAATCGGGTACACATACTTCGGGAGTCCCTAATTTTTACCCATTTGTGCTTTCCGAGTAATACTAAAACTCTGATTCGAACCTGGTCCAAGTGTACCGGTATTTTATTTCATTGATATGGTGAGTCTATTTATAATATAATAGCGAGACTTTCTGTGATAATTTCCTGTGATAAAATCGCTTCTACTAAAATACATTGAGCTAGTAGATACATTGAGTTAGTAGATGTTACCAAAGTAATTTTTAAAGTAGCAAGTGTTTTATTGTTTCACTTTAATTCCTTTTAGTTGTTTTAGCATTTTTGTGTTTTAATTATGTTTTTGTCTTTCGCAATGTTGGTGAAATGGTCTGGCTGGAGGATTTTAGCACTCATGGCCCCTGTTTATCATTCCAGTAGTATTTATAGTGTTATTTTGACTGGTAGATTCCGAATTTCATTATATTTAAACAATTCATGGGGCTCCCGAAGTATGCGAACCAAGATGGCGGACATCGGAATGTAATATGTGTACTAGGTTAGGGTTAGGCCATAATTTTAGGTATAAATACTACGGGAGGCTATTGGCTAGTCTTCGAACTGATAATAGGACTAAAATAAGGAAAATTGGAAAAAAATTATCGCCTAACCCTAACCTGTTACCCATGTTACGTTCCGATGTCCGCCATCTTGGTTCGCATACTTCGGGAGCACCCAATTCATGCTCAACAAAGTGAAAACACCTTGTCAAGCCATGACCCTTCAGCTGCTCTGCTGGGGGGGGGGGATGTAGTTACGACCCACGACCCTCCCCCATCCCTGGCTACGCCTCTGCCCCCTGTTATTGTTTCATAACTCATTTTCTGATCAGTTTCTTTGATTCTATTCATATCAGCTCACGTTTGCTAAGTTAATTTTTAATCATTCCTTGCATGATTTAGTTTAGACTAGAGGTAAGGTTATTAGAGTACGAGATAGAAACCTAGGGGTTCAGTGAGCAAATCATTTTCTTATTAAAATACCGACTTGGCTAATTTTGTAACTGTCCAATAAAGCTATACTGGCAATTATATAATTTGACAACTGCAGCGTCAAATTGTGGCAACAAGGTGGGAATTCAAATATAACATTATCTGTTGTTATATATTAAGTTCCAATAGATAATTTGGGGCTCCCGAAGTATGCGAACCAAGATGGCGGACATCGGAATGTAATATGTGTACTAGGTTAGGGTTAGGCCATAATTTTAGGTATAAATACTACGGAAGGCTCTTGGCTAGTCTTCGAACTGATAATAGGACTAAAATAAGGGAAATTGGAAAAAAATTATCGCCTAACCCTAACCTGTTACGTTCCGATGTCCGCCATCTTGGTTTGCATACTTCGGGAGCACCGATAATTTTTATAAATTTATTGTGGGGCTTTGTAACTAATAGTCACCCCTTCACCGGCTCCGTAACACCAAAATTTGAGAACCCCAGATTCTGGAGAATGATTGAGGATTTGTACTTTGCATTGATTTCTTTAATTTAGTAGTTTTAAGCTTTCGTGTGTTTAGAACTGTGCCTTTGCCTAGTAAATGTTTGAAATATATGCTTCCTATTTAAGCTTGTATGATTTTTTTTTATGTGGGGGAGGCTAAAGCCTATAAGATGTACCACCTCCGATTGGGTATGGGAGTAACGCAGCGCCGGATTAACCATTAAACAATGTAAGCACGTTCTTAAGGCACCACAGAAATTTAAGAGCAGAATTTTATATAGTTTATCGGTGTTTATTAAAATATTACGAGTTCACCTGACGACTAAAACTTCAAAATGTTCGCTTATTTTTCTTCTTCACGTATCATATTAACCTTCTTTATTAAAGATAAACATTGAGCCTGTGAGTCGTTTTCTTAAAAAAAATTTTCTCCTAGTATGTCCCTTTTCAGCTATTCCAAAACGCAGAGCCGACTTAACGCCGCGCAATCCAGTTTTTTTTTAGCTAGGTCCCGAAATACCAACTTGGGATAGGATGGTATTTTTATGTTTATCCCCGGGGAGAGGAAAGCCGATAAGACGGCTTAATTATATGACGAACCACGGCCTCTCGCCCGGTTACCAGTCCAGATGGGGTATGGAATTAGTTAGCCAGTTATTTGTTTTCGGAAGCATGGACTTGATGGCGGAGGATGCCGTAACCGACCAGCGGTTACGTGAACCACCCTACGGCGGCGAGGAGTCCCACGAAGGGTAATCAGAGTTGCGGTGGCGAGCGTATTCCTAACGCTTAGCACGATGCGCCACACCGCCGAGCCGCAACTTAGACGGACTTGGTTGGTATTTGACGATGGCACTAAGCTTGCTCACGCTGCAAGTTTTTATATTACTCAAATATAACAATTCGTAATAAAATGAGTGTCAAAAGAAAGGTGACAAAAGGAAAACACGGCGGAAACGTATTTCCTTGCCCATGACACAGTGTCTGGTTTGATTTCAAGCAATATCTGTCACGAAAGAATATAATTTGAAGCGACATTAATCGCGAAACGTGGAAAATACAACGGTAATTCTCGAGAATTGATTTTAAAATAACTGAAGGCTTTATATATATATATATATATATATATATATATATATATATACATAAAGGGTTAGAGCTCAGCCGATATCTCGGCCCGATATTGCGTGTTTGGCGATACATCAGCATATTGAAAACTGTGCAAATCCACTACAGCAGTGGTTCCCAAACTTTTTTCTCGCGACCCCAATTTTCATAAAATCTAACTCTACAGATACTCGCGACCCCACAACTAGAAACATTCAGCAAGCTCAAAAATCACTACAGTATATCAGTTCATAGGCGTAGCCAGGGGGGGGGGGGGGCAGAGGGGCCATGGCCCCCCCCAAAATTTTCAAGAATTTCATTCCTAATCCACCAGTTTTGTGGCATCTTGTCTCGTCAAGCGTGTACACCGCAATACAGATCGTTATGACGCTACTAGCAACCACCGTTGAGGCTGAGCGGTCTTTCTCATGCATGAAACGGGTAAAGACATGGCTGCGCTCATCAATGACGTCCAATCGCCTTTCTGATTTGTGTGTGCTTCACTGTCACCGTGAAATGGTCACCGAGGAGAAAATTAATCGAGTTGTGTCGAGCATAGTTGGCGGGAAGCGAAGGATGGACTTTTAATTGGGGCGATGTATTTTACTTATTCAAATTGCGTTGTTAATATTTGTTGTTTCAAATAAAAAATTGTTTATTAATGGATTTTGTATTCACAAAAATCCAGCTGAGTAATTGAATCAGTTTGCTTGGTGACCAACTGTTGTTGTTTTGCGCTTGAAGAACGGTGTTTTAAACCCAATATAATTTCTAAAATTTTCAAATTTGGCCCCCCCCAAAATTTTGGGCTGGCTACGCCACTGTATCAGTTTAATCAAAATGTACCTGTATATCGACTGCAAGTGGACGTTGGCGGTGAACATTGGCCCGAAAAATATATGAACGAGCCCAGCAATGCACCGGAAGAAAACGGGGGAATCTCAGATGATTTAATAACACATGGCATCGCATGAAAAACATGGTGTAAAAATATCTTA